CACCTATTATGCAAAATCCACTTCTCCATGTCTCTTCTACATCAACATGTGTCCCCTCTTCTTCATGTCTCTTCTACATCAACATGTGTCCCCTCTTCTCCATGTCTCTTCTACATCACCATGTGTCCCCTCTTCTTCATGTCTCTTCTACATCAACATGTGTCCCCTCTTCTTCATGTCTCTTCTACATCAACATGTGTCTCCTCTTCTTCATGTCTCTTCTACATCAACATGTGTCCCCTCTTCTTCATGTCTCTTCTACATCAACATGTGTCCCCTCTTCTTCATGTCTCTTCTACATCAACATGTGTCCCCTCTTCTTCATGTCTCTTCTACATCAACATGTGTCTCCTCTTCTTCATGTCTCTTCTACATCAACATGTGTCCCCTCTTCTTCATGTCTCTTCTACATCAACATGTGTCCCCACTTCTTCATGTCTCTTCTACATCAACATGTGTCCCCTCTTCTTCATGTCTCTTCTACATCAACATGTGTCCCCCTCTTCTTCATGTCTCTTCTACATCAACATGTGTCCCCTCTTCTTCATGTCTCTTCTACATCAACATGTGTCCCCTCTTCTTCATGTCTCTTCTACATCAACATGTGTCCCCTCTTCTTCATGTCTCTTCTACATCAGCATGTGTCCCCTCTGTGGAAAGAGACTCTGAAAGTTTCAGGAACAAAGATTCTCTCTCTTTTTGTCCTGATCCATTTTTATAAAAACCTGTCTGAAAATGAGCTGATCAGATTTTGGACACTCTATGATGTCATAACGATGTTTTGGCTTGAGTAGCCATTAGCCAATCAGCAACCAAGGTAACCCCCCCCCCCCACCTTATCACCTGAATCTCCTCCTAGAGCACCATTGTGTTCTTTGTAACCAAATCTCTCTCATACCCCTTTCACACCAACGGTGTTTCAGGGCCGGTTCGGTGCTGGTGCTTGAAAAGCACCGGGTTTTCCTCTTCACACCGCAGCGGAGCAGCGTCATAGCTCCGGAATCCGGTTCGTTTCGAGCACCAAAAAGTTGTCCGTCTAGAAGCAAGAACCGCATACGTCACGCTTACGTCGGAGGAGGGCGAGATTAACCTGAGCTAACACTTAAGGCGAGTACGGCAAATAAAAGTTGTAACAAGCAGTAGTGCTGAGCAAAGTGACTAGAACGCAACCACACACTTGTTAAAAAAAACACACTTTATAAAGTCAGGCAACACTAACGTGTGATTCTGTTTATTTGTACCTTACTTTGACCATCCGTTCGCTGTTATTGATCATTGTGGAGAGCAGGCAGACGTTTTGTTTGTTATTATAGCAGCTATCGGATGGAATCAATACATGGGCTGCACAGGTTGTCATGTCCGACTATCACAAGTAGAATCATAATGAAAAATACGTCGGTAAAAAGTGCCTGTAGAAAACTGCTTAGCAAGTAGTCAGTTTAGCTTCGGTTGCTATGCTAACATCACCCATGTTATACCAGAGACACTTTCATAACAGCGTTGTGATGCCAAACAGCGTCAATTCAGACTGACACCAAACAGCGTCAATTCAGACTGACACACATTCACTTAAGGGGAACTGGGGATATGTATCAGCTGCTTGTGTGACAGTCAGACAGTGAATACTTTAGAGCCGTGTGAGCTAACCCGGAGCTAACGGGAGAATACTCCCGTTGAAGAGCAGCCGGCCAGCACTGCAGCGGTCGGTAAATGCCGCTGAAACACATTAATAAACAATGAACCACGGCACTCTGGAGAAAAGTATAAGGTTGGAGAAGTCGTTATTTAATTTAATCTGGCTTCGTATGATTAAAAGCAACGCAGTCCCCGGCCCGTTGTTGTTGTGAGGTGAGCTCCGGCGTTGGGAAGAAACTCAGCGACGTAAACTGTGACGTCATGACGCAGCAGCGGCAGCACCAGTCGGGCTCTGAGCGGTGTGAAAAGAGCCGGCGCTAAACCGAAGAACCGGTTCTGAACCAGAAAAGCTCTAGCACGGAGCTTGAACCGGAGTTGCGTTGGTGTGAAAGGGGCATCAGAGGGGCGTGGGGAGGGGCTCCTTATTTTCATCTCAAGTAACAGACAGAGAATCAGCACTTTGGAAACAGGGCTGAAACAGAGGGGATTATGGGATGCTGCAATGATCTGTTTGGTGTTTCAGCCAATCAGAGACAGGTTCTGTATATATCTGAGACCTATAATATATTGATGAAAAACAGTATAATAGGGGACCTTTAAACTCTGGGGTACTCAACATGTCCGGGTTCACAGTGCTGCATACGAGACTGTTACAATTGCGACTCGGTCTGTGTGGACACGGCTTGTATCTCACATTCGCTCTGCAACATCTTAATCCATCTTGTTTAAACAAAAATAAAAAAGTAAATTGTTTAGCAGATATTGAGAATACCCCGCTAAAATCTGCGTTTGAAAAATCTATTCTGATCATTGAAATGCTTTGTATGAAGTCATTACTGCTTCAAATGTGTGTATGCATGCACTTACCAATCAAAACAAATGTAACAGGAGATGTAAAAGCATTTTCTCATATAATCAATAACTTTGGCAAAAAGAACATAACCGATGGCAGTGAAGTTATATAGATAAATAAATGTACATTTTCAAAATCAAATAACCGGTTTTCATTAGATTGTAGAGAAATGTACGTTTATATAAACTCGTAAAGGAAAGCTTGATTGTGTATCTCAATAGCTTGTTAAATGATAAGATGGAACTAAAAAGCAACCCCCCCCCCCCCCTCCCCTCTGTTAGGCGCTACAGACATCGAACTACCAGAAACTGATGAAGAGTTAAATCACACGATCAATATCCCCATCTCTACTCTCTACCCTCCCTCCCTCCCTCCCTCCCTCCCTCCACAGCGGTGCGGACCTCGGCAGTCACTTCAGACTGACAGACAGCAGCACCTCCCACCTTACAGTCACTTCAGACCGACAGGTGTAAGCACCTCCCACCGTACAGTCACTTCAGACAGACAGGTAGCAGCACCTCCCACCTTACAGTCCCTTCAGACAGACAGGTAGCAGCACCTCCCACCTTACAGTCCCTTCAGACAGACAGGTGTAAGCACCTCCCACCTTACAGGCCCTTCAGACAGACAGGTGTAAGCACCTCCCACCGTACAGTCACTTCAGACAGACAGGTAGCAGCACCTCCCACCGTACAGTCCCTTCAGACAGACAGGTAGCAGCACCTCCCACCTTACAGTCCCTTCAGACAGACAGGTGTAAGCACCTCCCACCTTACAGTCACTTCAGACAGACAGGTGTAAGCACCTCCCACCTTACAGTCCCTTCAGACAGACAGGTGTAAGCACCTCCCACCTTACAGTCCCTTCAGACAGACAGGTGTAAGCACCTCCCACCTTACAGTCACTTCAGACAGACAGGTGTAAGCACCTCCCACCTTACAGTCCCTTCAGACAGACAGGTGTAAGCACCTCCCACCTTACAGTCACTTCAGACAGACAGGTGTAAGCACCTCCCACCTTACAGTCCCTTCAGACAGACAGGTGTAAGCACCTCCCACCTTACAGTCACTTCAGACAGACAGGTGTAAGCACCTCCCACCTTACAGTCCCTTCAGACAGACAGACAGCAGCACCTCCCACCTTACAGTCCCTTCAGACAGACAGACAGCAGCACCTCCCACCTTACAGTCCCTTCAGACAGACAGACAGCAGCACCTCCCACCTTACAGTCCCTTCAGACAGACAGACAGCAGCACCTCCCACCTTACAGTCCCTTCAGACAGACAGGTAGCAGCACCTCCCACCTTACAGTCCCTTCAGACAGACAGACAGCAGCACCTCCCACCTTACAGTCCCTTCAGACAGACAGACAGCAGCACCTCCCACCTTACAGTCCCTTCAGACAGACAGGTAGCAGCACCTCCCACCTTACAGTCCCTTCAGACAGACAGGTAGCAGCACCTCCCACCTTACAGTCCCTTCAGACAGACAGGTGTAAGCACCTCCCACCTTACAGTCCCTTCAGACAGACAGGTAGCAGCACCTCCCACCTTACAGTCCCTTCAGACAGACAGGTAGCAGCACCTCCCACCTTACAGTCCCTTCAGACAGACAGGTAGCAGCACCTCCCACCTTACAGTCCCTTCAGACAGACAGGTAGCAGCACCTCCCACCTTACAGTCCCTTCAGACAGACAGGTAGCAGCACCTCCCAGAGAGATGAACAAATGACTAAGCTGCCAGTGCCTCGAGTTTACAGCTAATTAGCCAAAAGCCAAAAACAAATAGGCATTACCGGTGAAAAGGATAAAACTAAAAACAAATAAAGAAACACATCACCTCACAACTTCCCCAGATAGTTACTTGCGTCAAGTCAGTATTTTCCCCTGAAATGTTATGTTTAAATGCAGATTAGCTTTAAATCTATAGAAGAATTCAGACGAACACCATTTATTTGTGTTTCTTTGAAGTTTTCTTTCCATTAGAGTGAAAGAAAACATGGAAGCAAAACAGACCAAAGACATGAAAAAACGATCTTTTTGCCTGTAATGTCCTTAAACAGTAACTTCATCATTTTGATTGTTGGCTGCTCATTTAATAACTATTCATTTGACTAGTTTGTTGTCTGCTCTTGTGCGTAGTGAATACTAAAGAAGACCATTGACTCTGTGTTAACTGATTATTTTGTAGAATTCTGTTGAGTATTAAACAATTGCGTGAGTGTGAGGGTATTCAAATAAATTGGTCAGTAAGTCAGAGATGTGCATCTAGCCTATATTTAACTTTTTGCTTTAAAACGTTTATAAATGATTATGGGAAGTGCCCTTTTTCTCACTTGAGCTCCCGCCCCCCAAAATGTCTGTGCACGTCCCTGCTGCCAATATAAATCTAAATATAGACACACATATATATATATATATCACATGTATACAATCCATTAATTTAGCATGTATTTTTGTTTACGCGCAATTCTTAATAAAACGTACGCAACACTTGACTTTTATTTCTATATATATATATATATATATATATATGTGTTAATCTTGGTCCTTGCTGCTTTTATACATATGTATATATACCTATGTTTTGACACAGATATATATACAGGGTAAATGCAGGAATCCTGAAGTCAAATGTAAGACCTTTGAAGACCTTTTTTAAGACCCTTTCCATACATTTTAAGACCTCATCGCCACTTTGAGTTCTAACCGGTTACATTGGCGACACACTTTACCTCACATTGACTATATACAGTATTGATTGTCCTTCTTCCTTATCTTCCAACCATTTGGACGCAGACTTGCATTTCCCCATAACGATGTTGTTTAACAACCGGCGTAAACGGACCTACGCGCGCTATCAAGCAGTGAGCGTGCGATGTCCTGTTCAGATGACGTCAAATCCAACGGGATGCCATAAATAAAACTACACAGAATCACACAACACACCTACGCAATGATTACATTCAGGCAAACTGTAGAATACAACCTCTTTGGACAATTTATATACTTATTGAAAACAAGCTACCATATGTGATACCTTGGAAAATGCCGTTTAATACTTTTTAATAGCCTTAATTTTCGCTAAATTGATTTATCAACTTGTAATACTTTTTAAGACCCCGCGGACCCCCTGGTCTATTATTGACCTTTAGTTAACTACCAGGCATGTTTTAATACATTGAGAGCAATGCAAAAAAGACGTGATGTTTGTTTACATATTGGCCAATACAAGAAGTCATTATCCTATTATACCCATTTCCATTGTGGACTATTGAGTGCATTTGCCCACATCATTTTTATTTTAAGCTTCTTTTTTGACATGTTTGTGAGTTTTGAAAGAGGACTATCACATTAATAAACATTTAAAAAACACCCTGACCAGCTACAAAAGGCACGTTATGAAAGCTCTTGACATTTATAAAAAGAAATTGGCCTTTGTTTTAAATTGCCATATTGCAAAGCACATGTGTCAAACTCAAGGCCCGGGGGCCAAATCAGGCCCTTGGTGGATTTAATTTCGGCCCGCAGGATAATTTCTAATTACTATTAGATCTGTCCCGCCGGTATATTGCACGCACACCTTCGCTCCATCCTGAGGGTCTCCTCAGCTCAGAGCCTGAGCCCAAACATTGATGAACTTGCACCCAAGATGAGATGCCAAGTATCTGGCTTGAACTAGCATCACAGAGCAGCACACTGAGTTTCAATGGATGTTTCCTTCTGCACTTTTTCTCTCACGACAACAGGGCATGTTTGTTTTTTCTTTGAGGGAAATAGTTTTTTTGAAGCTGTTGTTGGCTTGTGGAAAAATGTAATCATAAGAAATGACTCCGGAAAAGCTGCAGATAGAGCCATAAGAAATGAATGCAACTGATTATTTAATGTTGTTTTTATAGGCAATAATTTAAGCTTTGTTAGTTCCAGGTTTAATATGTGCAATAAGTTATTTCAATACGTTTTGCAATAAACATTGAACCAGTCCCCTCGACGAGTACCGATTTTTAAATTTTGGCCCACAGTGTATTTGAGTTTGACACCCCTGCTGTAAAGTAATGAGAGCTGCAGCATTCTGAACGGTGCCGAACAAAAATAAAGTTATAGTTGTGAATCCTGAAAGATAATTTACTGTTTCGTGTAATGTTCGTTTACATAATTATTGGCCAATAAAAGTGATTTATTTTTTTACATATTTAAATCACTATTGAGTGTACTGTCCCCAGTTGTATTGACTTTTGGACTATTTTGACATTCAGGATTTTGTTTGTGAGTTTTGAATGAGGACTGTCACATTAATACACATTTAAAAGCAACCTGACCAGATACAAAAGGCACGTTATGAAAGCTCTTGGCATTTTAAAAAGGGAAATTAACAATGTTACCTACTTTTTCTACTACATTTTTTACTTTTACGCCTTTTTATAGTATATTCATTGTTTTTTTAATTGGCTTTTGTTTTAAATTGACACACCATAGAGACATTAAAGCTGCATTCTATATATAAAAGTTGCCAACAAAAAAGACTATGAATCCTGAAAGCTAATACAACCTGGCATGTACTGTTTCATGTGATGTTTGTTTACATAATGGACCAATACAAGTGATTATTTTAATTTATTTAAATCCCTTTTGAGTTGAATAAATGTAACTTATTGTTTTGTAACTATTTTGACATTCAGGATTATTGAGATTTGAATGAGTACTGTCTCATTAATGAACGTGATCACTTTTTATAGTATAATAATTCTGTTTTTATTCACTTTTTTCAATGTTGTTATTTTTAATTGCCTTTTGTTTCAAATAACCATACCGTAGAGACATGTTAGCTGCATTCTAACTATGAAAGGTACCGAAAAATAAATGTCTAGTTATGAATCCTGAAAGCTAATACAGCCGTTTAGTGTTTCATGTGATCCTTGTTTATATACCAGCTGTTTAGCCACATTAGCTTAGCACAGGCTCTAGCTTCTTTCTTGCTAAGCTACCGTTAGCTCCCTACCTGCTCCACCGTCGCCGGGTCCATCGATTGCAACCGGGCCGCGTTTTCGTACTCGTCCTCGCTGTTGTTCCCGGCTCCTTCCTCGGTGTCCTGGCCGCTGGTGCCCCCCCCTGGTCCGGTAACCCCCGGTTGGCCTCCTCCGGTGAGAGCCGCCACCACCCCGGCGGAGCAGCTGCCTTGTTGTGTCTGCCTTCTCCTCTTACTGAGCCCGGGCCCGGAGCAGCAGCTGCCACCAGAGCCGCCGGAAGACACCGCTAAGGAACCGGGCACCATGGGGCTGTCTGTCGGTCCTCCGGGAGACACGGAGCCAACGGGCGGCGGCGAGGCCTGTTGCGGCCGGGTGCTCGCCTCGATGCCCCGCCGGTCTGAGGGCGGAGCGGGCGGGTAGGACCAGGGCGGCGGAGAGGCTCTCTGCCGGGCTCCGGAGCGACCGGGGTGAGCGTCCGGACCGGTCCTACTGTCATCATCCGACACACCGACCCCAGAACTGGGCTTCTTCTTCGGGAGAATCGTCATGGTGTGTGTGTGTGTGTGAGTGTGTGTGTGTGTGTGTGTGTGTGTGTGTTGGGGGGGGGGGGGGGGGTCAGAGGGCGACGAGTCCTCCCTTTCTGGATCAAACTGTTCGGTGTGTTCGCCCTCCGGCCCGGCCGTTCGGTAAGAATTACCGAGTTAAGGCGATTAAAGAACCGGAACCGATCAGAGGACCGGCGACTCGGCTTCTTTTCGACGGTTTAGAGGAACAAAAACATCTTCCCGTTTCTCTCCAGCCGTTCGTCCAGTCCGCAAAACATCAACACAATCTGACGGAGGGCCGTGACGTCACTTCCTGGTCTCTACGGGATTTTTTTTCCCCTTTTTTTTACGTCAAGCCGTTAATCAGATCTTTATTTTGATTATTTCAGAATGCATTTGGTCAACAAAGAGTCTATTTATTTAGGATTAACACTTAAATGGATTCGTAAAAGCTATTGTTTCACATTATCGTAAAATGTAAACTTTCTATGTTAATATATATTTGTTTTGTTCATTGGATATTTTTAATTATTTAACTAATATATTAAGAAAAAAGACGACATTATATTTGTTAGGGTCTTAATTAGATGGATTGTAAGATGAGGTTTATATATTCATATTTTTTATATGTAGTGCGCAATGTATGTTTATATACATCTTTTGTTTTATTTGAATTCATTCATCACATCTTTAATTTGATGATTTCTCTGATTCCTTTAGAAACAAAGACTCTATTTAATTAAGATAATACTTGATATGGATTGTGAAATACTGTTTGATTAAGTTTGTATTCGACTTATAGTACATGGTGCACATTCTATGTTTATGTATTATGAATTATAAGGATTGTAAAATACAGTTTCATTTTTCATCTTTATTTTATATCGAGTGCAACGTAAATATTTTATGTTTATATAATTATATTATACTTATACATTATATTATTCAGGATTGGAATTTTTTACTGTATTGTAAAATATATATTTGTGTTTGTTTCTTTTGAGTGATTGGCACCTCCTTGTGGTCATTTTGATTTGTTTGTGTTTCTTTGTAGCAGTGGTGTTAAGTAACATTTACTCAAGTACTGTACTTAGGTAACATTTTGAGGTACTTGTACTTTACTTGAGTATTTCCATGTTTTGCTACGTTGTACTTCCACTCCACTACAGTTCAGAGGTAAATTGTGTACTTCTACTCCACTACATGTATTTAATACCTTTAGTTACTTTACAGATCTGGATTAATGATGTGAAATATAATCAAGTCTTAAAACTTTAGTTACAATGAATACTAACTATATTTTGATGCTAATACTTTTCTACTTTTACTTGAATAACATTTTGAATGCAGGACTTTTACTGAAACAGAGTATTCCTACACTCTGGTACTTCTACTTTTACTCAAGTACAAGATCTGAGTACTTCTGATTAACAGTAGTAAGAAAGTATAGCAGTGTATGATGATCTTGTACTTGTAACTAAAGTCTGATTTAAGACTTGATTATATTTCACATCATTAATCCAGATCTGTAAAGTAACTAAAGGTATTAAATAAATGTAGGGGAGTAGAAGTACACCATTTAACTCTGAACTGTAGTGGAGTAGAAGTAAGAAGCATAACATTGAAATACTCAAGTAAAGTACAAGTACCTCCAAATTGTACTTAAGTGCACTACTAGAGAACATGTACTTAGTTACTTTACACCTCTGCCATTAATACTGTGTTTATTCTATTTTTTTTTAAATATTTGTCATATGCAAGTACTTATACTAAACCTTACACATCACTTTATTACTTCATTTGTACTTCTAGTTAAATGCTAACTGTATTTAGTTGAATCTCTTCTAATCCAATCTATTTATTATAAGATTCCAATAGAGTTGTTTGACTTCTTTTAACTTAAGTGAAGGGTTTGGACGATTCTTCCACCTCTGAGCAGAAGTATTTACTGAAATTATTTGCATACTGAATTATTTCTTGCAGGTTCAACTAAACGTCCGACTGAACCAGTTTGTGGAGAGAATAACTTGACAGGAATTTGTGAGAACATCACGTATGTGTGTGTGTGTGTGTGTGTGTGTGTGTGTGTGTGTGTGTGTGTGTGTGTGTGTGTGTGCGTGCGTGCGTGCGTGCGTGCGTGTGCGTGTTTGTGTCTTTGTGTGTGTGTGTGTGTGTGTGTGTGTGTGCGTGCGTGCGTGCGTGCGTGCGTGCGTGTGCGTGTGCATGTTTGTGTCGGGGTGGGGACGTCAGGAGAGACATTTGTGTAAAACTCAAGAGACAGATAATCACTTGGTCTCCTCAGAGCAGCGTCTACTCATCGTCTGCGTAGAAACGGTTTCTCCTGAGCAGTAAGTATAATCAGGAAAATATAGATAAAGGTCATCTGTGATTGTATATATTATATATTTAGATTCATTACTCATGCGTTAATGTAAAAAGCAGGATTTGACTGCTGTAGTTGCTTCTGTAAGAGTGCATTTGATTCCTATTAGTAGAGTAATATTGTAAGAGGGTGCTAGAGTTGTGAATATCATGTATGTAAGAAAGTCGTGGACATATACATTATGCACTTATTGCAATGAACTACAAAACAGACAAAGGAAAGGAAAGATCCCTTTGTTGATGAAGAAGGCAGTGGACAGTAATTACAAGAGTTAATCAGTTTTACTGTTACCGTGTTTGCCTGTTTTTAATGTTTATTACAGAAAAATAGCTTTTAGTATATAATTATACAAACATTGCTTCAAAATAGTTAAAATCTAGCTAGTAGAGCCTCGCAGCGGCGAAACCGTGCCACGCCACACTAATTGCGCCGCATAACCGCTTAGGTGTGCCGCATTTTCGGCTAAGTTGAGGCACCCTCCGCAAGATGAGGCCCCCTCCGCGAGGTGAGGCCCCACGCAGTCTGCATGATCGGCCTGTAGGGAGGGACGGCCCTGTCTATATCAAATAAAAGCAATTAGGGATTAGGAGAAATACATTTAAAGACTTCAACGTGGATTTATTTAGAAACTGGGATGGACATTTTCACTACTTTATGAATTTCCTAGACCAAAGGCTTAATGGATAATGAGAATAATTCAGTGCCAATAATGTTTGTTTCCTCAGATCTGAGTTGATCATTATGTTGATCTGCAGCTCTTTATATTTAATATTATTAACATGTTGACGTCTCCTGCTTTCATGCAGAGCTTCATTTATTCGTGTAACACAGAATCAGATCTGGAAGGGGAGTTGTGATATTATATTTTTGGTAAACACAGAGAAAAACAGGCTGTGTGAACAAACTTCCTCTCTGCGGTGGAAAAACGCCAAAGGCTTAAAATCTAAGTGATGCTCGTCGGGCTCTTTAATTTGAGGAATCTGTCAGAATTGCCGAAAAGTACTCATGACCTTTACAGCAGAAATGACTGCAGGTGTTTTTAACCTGTTGAGCCTGTAAGTCTAAAAAAAAATCACAGGGTTTCAAAAATATTTCAGATTGTTTGAACTTTCTGCTGCTGTTCATACTTTTCACGTGTTTTAAAAAAAGTGAATACAAAATCTGTAATGCACTATAATAATAATACTCAAATAGGTTTAATAAAGAGAACATATTATAATATTTTCAATGCAATCATTAACTGCCATAAAAGTGCTGTAAAAAACACAATAAAGTTCACGATCAAGTGTTAAGTGTGGAAGGGAAGAGGGTTTTAATATTGAAAGACAGATGACGTTTTTTGTATCACATTTTTTCTCTGATTAACCTGTTTACGGGGTTCATGTAAATGTACTGAATGGGACGTTATCTTGAGCATGACTCTAGTATGACTTTAAAATGATGTTAGCATAACTTAAGCATGATGTGCGCATGGCTTCAGCATGACATTTGCATGTAAGATGTTAGTGTGACTTTAGCTTGATGTTAGCTTACTGTAAGCAGGACATTAGCTTGATGTTAGCTTACTGTAAGCAGGACATTAGCATGATAATCACATTACTTTAGCATGACTTAAGCACAAGGTTAAATCGACATTAGCATGTTGTTATCATAACTTTAGCAGGACATTTGTATGCATGATGTTAGTGACTTTAGCTTGATGTTAGCTTAATGTTAGCAAAACATTAGCATTACTTTTGAACAAGGAAGACTTTAGCATGACTTTAACATGTTGTTATCATGACTTCAACATGACATTTTCACGCATGATGTTAGTGTGACTTTAGCTTCATGTTAGCTTAATGTTGGCAAGACATTAGCATTAGTTTTCCATGAGCAAGACTTTAGCATGATGTTGGTACGAAGTTAGCATGATGATAGCACGACTTTAGCATTACTTTAACATGATGATAGCATGATGTTAGCATGACTTTAGCGTGACTTTAACATGATTTTGGTACGAAGTTAGCATGATGTTAGCATGATGTTAGCCTGACGCTCACATGTCGGCCTGTGCCTCCTCCAGCTCTCCGTCAGCTGACTTCCTCCAACATGTTCCGCTTCCTGCTCTTCCTGGCTGCTCTCAGTCAGCTGACAGGTAAACACACCTGACCTCATCTAACTCCACCCACAACGTCTAAACTCTGAGCACAGAAAATGTTTTATATAATAAGCACTTTTATCTTGAATTACTAGAAAAACCTTTTCATGTAAATATTATTACTATAAACTTTTTGCCTATAATCTCTTAATTTCATGACATTTCTGCAAATATTTATTATATTTGGAGCTTAATCATAATCTGTTTATGACATTTTAAAATATACATTTCAAAATCTTCATACCATAAATCTTCATACCATAAATGTCCTTAACATATTATTACTTTTGGGCATAAGATTAGCACTTTTTTTTATCCTGCCCAACATTTGAAGCTCTTCCTGCTTTTTTCTGTGTCTGCAGATGGGACCCCGAGACTCTGCACTGTGTCCGGCCCGTCTGTCATCGATTTCAACGGCGATATTGCCTTTGTCCGGGATCGCTGTGCGTACACTTTGTTATCCAGATCTGGCCTCGAGGTGATGGCCATCTTTAAGGAGCGCCGCCGTGAAGACGTCAGTTTCTTAGACCAAGTGATTCTGCGTTACAACGGCGTTGACTTTAACCTCGGACAAGGCGGGATAGTACAAGTAAGTTACCTCCAAAAAGTGACACCAATGTTTGAAACATTTTCAAGAATGTGTGACTGACTGTTCCCTGTTTGGAGAATAATGGAATCATGTAACCAACGTTTTGAAGGACGTTTAGATATAAAGAGTTATCATTTATACGTTCTGCCTTGGCTCCAAAAATCATTACCTCAGTTTTATCTTTGTTTAATTGGAGAAAGTTCTGACACATCCAGTCATTGATTTTTTCAATGCACTTACTCAGTGTTTGAATTGGAGCATAGTCTCCTGGTGAAATGGTTACGTAAATGTGGGTGTCATCCGCATAGCTATGGTTGCTTAATTTGTTGTTTTTCATTATCTGAGCCAGTGGTAGCATGTAGATGTTAAAACCAGTGCAACATCTTGCAAGAAACAGCGTCTCAGGGCTTCTTAACATTTAATAAACCATGAATGTGTCATATCCACTTAACGGGAAGAAACTCAGCTATCAGACAATATTAACCATTTTCACCTAAACGAAACACAAAATAACAAAGGCTCTGAATTATCCCTGAGCGAAAAAATGCTAACGCACTTAGCACAGAACTCACGGTAAAATACCCTTATTACTTATCGGATCTGCACAAATTAAATTAAATTAAAACAGATTAAAGCTGTGATTCCACAGATTCCAGAAATATAAGTATCATCACTGAGCGACCAGAACTCGCGGCATGGGAAGCAAAACCAGACATCACACAACGTAGCTTTAGGTAGCAAAAACAGGACGTTGTCTTACCTTTTGCTGTTTCTGATCAAAAGTTGTGTTCAATGGCATTAAAACGATGACACCGCTGCTGAAGGTTAATCCAATGTGTCTGTGTCACTTTGAAATGATTGCTGATAATCCATCTTCATATTTATGTCAATAACGGAGATTTCATATTAGCTGCTACGCGAGTGTATGATAGCTTCCGGTTTGGGGCATTCTGGCTACGCATCACTCATTCACCAATGGGTAATGTTTAGATGGATTTTTAGGAACTTCCCCTCGATGCTATTGGCTCTAACGGTTTAAAAGAGGTGTCAATCATCAAAATCGACCGAAGGGGGCCAGAGATATGGAAAATGCACCCAAATGACCCCAGAAGTGGGTTTATTTTCTAAATCTCTCTAAAAAGGTCAAATGTCACTTGTTTTGCATCAATCTTGATACAGGGTACTTATTATATGTTGTAGTTTGGATTCCTAAAGCTTTTAGTCTCCGATCCCATCATTCAAGGGTGGTTTTCACTATAAGTAATGGTTTATTTTTGGACGGACACTATAATTTACATTTTTTTACTATGTACAATCTGAATTTACTTTAAAATAAAACAAATTCTATATTAGGCGCGTTCACACCAAGTACTTTGCCGTATTTAGTGCCGGCACTTAGTGCCCTGGCACTTATTACCCCAGGGCACTTAGTACAGATCGCGTTCACACCGGAATAAATTCCCTGAGGGAAGATTACGCAAATGAGCCGCTGACGTCACTTCGTCTTCTTCTGCTTTGGGTTTACTGGCAGGCCGCAAACAACTTCACGGCGTATACTGCCACCCAAAGTCCCCGGCCAGAAGTCCCCGGAGTTGGGGACTGGCTTCAGTAGAAGCTGCTGGGACTCCCAGCAGCTTCTACTGAAGCCTTCCGAGTAAATCGCCAGAACGCCGACACCTCCTCATCTCCACCGCTCCCATGTTTTATTTTGTGTTGCCATAAGTTAGTCTCTCTGCGTTTGTGCGCTGGGCGAATGCTAATGCTAATAATGCTAATGCGAGGATAATAAAATGGCGGCTCTACAAAACATTTCAGAATTGTACGGGGCGTGGTTTGCAATTCGCCCAGCCAATCAGAACTGGGGCACTTTTTTCCCCCAGGAAAGTACCATCTCTCAGCAGGCACTAAAAATGGGGGTAAAAGTTCCCGAGATTAAGTGCTCTTTTTGGTGTGAACACGACATAAGGGGTACTAACGGAACTAAAGTACGGTGAAAAGTACTCCGGTGTGAACGCGGCTATTGATTCTGACTTTTCTACATCCAACTCACAGGTGTATCATTGCTTTGAGAAAAAGATTATTAATTTAACCCTTTTAGAAGTGAAGATATAGTCAATTGTTCTGGGAATGTCATTTTCAAGCCTGAGGCCTGAAAAACAGGCTCAGGGCTCAACAGGTTAAAGAGAAGAGGCCCCAAGATGGAGCCTTGAGGAACCCCACATGTCATATTTGTCAACTCAGATGTGTATTTACCTATAGAAACAAAGTTGTTTCTGTCCTTTAAGTAGGATTCAAACCAATTTAGAACTGTTGCCGAAAGTCCCACCCAGTTTTCTAGTCGGTCTAGTAATATGTTGTGGTCAACAGTGTCAAACGCAGCACTGAGATCTAATAATACTAACACTGAAGTTCTGCCACTGTCTGTGTTTAAGTGGATGTCATTGAAGACCTTTACAAGAGCAGTCTCAGTGCTGTGGTTTGGTCGAAAGCCTGACTGGAACACATCGAAACAGTTATTTAAATGCAAGAAATTACTCAACTGTTGAAAAACAACTTTTTCAATGATTTTACCTAGAAATGGCAGGTTTGATATGGGCCTGTAATTGTTCATTACTGAAGCATCTAGATTATTCTTTTTTAAGAGCGGTTTAATGACTGCAGTTTTCAGGGCCTGTGGAAATACACCTGAGTGAAGAGACTTGTTTACTATATGAAGTAGATCTGAGGCCATGCAATTAAAAACATCCTATACAAAAGGGTGTCTAGATTTAAAGAGGTATCATGATATAAGACAGGGACAACTGGGTGTCATCGGCATACAATCGAATCCACCAAAAACAAAGACAAAAAAAAGTCTACAGAGACCTAAACATCTACAAAGACACGTAAAACAAACACATACCGGCCAACAACGTCTACAACGATTTACTAGACGTAGAACGACCAGAAAAAACACAAGAAAACAACAAAAATAACAACAAAGGAACTACAGAACAAACAAAAAAGATGCAATTCGAACACAAAGAGATACAAAAATGCAGGCTTTATTCGAATACAAAGAGGTGCCACACAACCATAAAGATATTCAAAAAACTAAAGAGAGAGGCAAAGAACGACAACAAAATTAAAACTACCACAAAGAGATTCTCAAAGACACTTAAAAAGACGTAAAAGAGGTCTCGAAAAGTGTTTCTCGCCCTTTCTAAAGTTTTGACGGGATTCCTTGTTTTGATTCTGAGACGTTTCATAAACACAGGATCAAATTCAACTTTACAAAATGTTCAACAGTGTTTGTAATCTCTGATTCTGCAGCAGGACGGCACTACGCTGACTCTGAGCTCCACCCAGAAGACTGTGCAGGGCGTGAAGCTCTCAAAGGACGTGGACGGAGTCACCGCCGAAGTGCCAATCGGCAACAACGTCACCACCATCGTGTTCGACGGCACCACCGCACAGATCCTCCTGACAGGTGCAGAAAAAAGTGTTTGATTATGAGTGACAAATATATATGTCCTCCTGATTCAAACCAGGATTATAGTGACAGGCAGAGATGGTAAAAGTACACACATCCTTTACTCAAGTAGAAGTACAGATACTCATGTTTAAAAATACTCTGGTAAAGTAGAAGTACTGACTAAACTTCTTTATTCAAGTAAAAGTAAAGAAGTATGGGCTTTGAAATGTACTGAAGTAAAAAGTACCCATAACTACCAGCTGTTTTAAAGAGTAACTGACCTCCCTTTATATTAATAGAACAATAATGTCATTGTTAGCTAATGAATGTTTCCATGCTGAACAACGGAAAAGAAGACCAGGAAATGATGGATACACGGATCGTGTTCAAATCAATAGGCACGCAATGACTCTAAATAATAATGATCACGCCACCAAACACACATTCAAACTAAAGTAACCAGCCTGTTTGGAAAATGTAAGAAGTAGAAAGTACAGGTATTTGTGTTCAAAATGTAAGAAGTAGAAAGTACAGGTATTTGTGTTCAAAATGTAAGAAGTCAAAGTAAAAAGTCGTCAGAAATAAGTAGTGGAGTAAAGTACTGATACCAGAAAAATGTACTTAAGTACAGTAACGAAGTATTTGTACTCCACTACTTCCCACCTCTGGTGACAGGAGTGCATGTGTGGAAGTGCTAACAGACCTTTTATTTTCTGGACGCAGGAACGTCTCCCTCTCGGGGATTATGCTTGGAGGCAGACAGCACTCTGAGTCTCCTGAAGGTCTCCGAGTTCAGCCCAAGCAGGTGAGAGACCAAACCTGAAAATCCACTGATTGCTTCTTCTCAACGTACTGTACCATCACTACTGTTGGGAAAATACTGAATGTACTCTTCCAATATCAGAATACACATGATAACAAAGGTATCCCAACTGTAGCTGTGTGCATGACAGGATGTATGATTACCTAGAAGAGCATCAGGACTGTTTTAGGCATATGATAGCTATGTGATTAACATGATGATTCAGCCTCTATGGAGATAGACATGTGACAAGCATGATCATTTCTGATGTGGAGCTAATCTGAACTAAACATTGAATAGGCCTACTGCTTTGTATTCCTCCATCTTGTGACTGTGTAACTCCCTCTCTTGGATATCAGCATGTGAAGGACACTGTTCAGGAACTAGTTGATGCTCTGTATGTGATGAGTGCTTCCATTCTTGAGAGGATAATAAATACATGGATCCTGAGATTGAAGCTCAAGACGGTGACGAGTGATATTTGAGTGAACAACTACCATCTCTTTGGTGTTCTGATGTTTGTTTGTCGCCCCCTAGCTGTGAGACCCTGGTCAGTGAACCCGCTGACAGCCACATCAACTGCATCATAATGACTGATAGGTGAGCAGAACACAATGATGCACACATATTTTCTAGACCTGCCTTAATTATCTATCTCATACTACGCCTATTACATTCCCTAAAATCGCATGTATATGTTTTTATGTATTTTATTTGTATTTACTTGCACATCTCCAAACATTCTCTTGCACTGTTTTATCTGTTTTATGTGTACTATGTCCTACTGTATATATAGATATGTTGGAGGAGCCTGTGACTTCAGCTTTTCATTACCATATATACACTGTAGCTAATGTGCACATGACAATAAAGCCTTGAAACTTGAAACTTAATCTCAGCACAGAAGTTAGCATTGTAGGGAACGGTGGGGACCCATGACAAAACCAATGGGATTTCCTGTGGATTTTGGAATATTGCAGAAAATATAAGATCTGTGGTGCGGTATTAATGATGCTCCGTTTTCAACAGGATCATCTCCACATATTATCACCACTTTTAGAAAAGTTGAAGCGTAAATAAGAGGAGAAAATAGCTAAACTAATGCTATAAACAAACTACAATGTTGTCACTTTCCCACCCACCCTTTCCTTTTTCTCCTACAACAACAGGTGTAATCTCCTGAAAAAGGCGCCGTTCACTTCCTGTCACAGTCTCATCGACCCGGCGCCTTATATCACCGCCTGTATCGACATGTTGTGCAAATACCCGGCGCTCGATGGACTCAACTGCCAGTTCCTTCAGGCGTACGCTGAAGCGTGCAGTGTGCAAAACAATCACACCGTAACGGACTGGAGGACAGAAACCAGATGCTGTAAGAACATCATGACCAGTTTTATCTGTTTAATACCTCCCAGTAAACTTTATTCACTTTCTAAGCAGGATGTAATTCAACTGTTCTTATCAGTATGTCAGTGTCTCTACTTTAAAGAGTCCTCTCCTGCTGATGTTCAGGTGTATATCAGTATGTAGTGTCTCTACTTTAAAGAGTCCTCTCCTGCTGATGTTCAGGTGTATATCAGTATGTAGTGTCTCTACTTTAAAGAGTCCTCTCCTGCTGATGTTCAGGTGTATATCAGTATGTAGTGTCTCTACTTTAAAGAGTCCTCTCCTGCTGATGCTCAGGTGTATATCAGTATGTAGTGTCTCTACTTTAAAGAGTCCTCTCCTGCTGATGTTCAGGTGTATATCAGTATGTAGTGTCTCTACTTTAAAGAGTCCTCTCCTGCTGATGTTCAGGTGTATATCAGTATGTAGTGTCTCTACTTTAAAGAGTCCTCTCCTGCTGATGTTCAGGTGTATATCAGTATGTAGTGTATCTACTTTAAAGAGTCCTCTCCTGCTGATGTTCAGGTGTATATCAGTATGTAGTGTCTCTACTTTAAAGAGTCCTCTCTTGCTGATGTTCAGGTGTATATCAGTATGTAGTGTCTCTACTTTAAAGAGTCCTTTCCTGCTGATGTTCAGGTGTATATCAGTATGTAGTGTCTCTACTTTAAAGAGTCCTCTCCTGCTGATGTTAAGGTGTATATCAGTATGTAGTGTATCTACTTTAAAGAGTCCTCTCCTGCTGATGTTCAGGTGTATATCAGTATGTAGTGTCTCTACTTTAAAAAGTCCTCTCTTGCTGATGTTCAGGTGTATATCAGTATGTAGTGTCTCTACTTTAAAGAGTCCTTTCCTGCTGATGTTCAGGTGTATATCAGTATGTAGTGTCTCTACTTTAAAGAGTCCTCTCCTGCTGATGTTAAGGTGTATATCAGTATGTAGTGTCTCTACTTTAAAGAGTCCTCTCCTGCTGATGTTCAGGTGTATATCAGTATGTAGTGTCTCTACTTTAAAGAGTCCTCTCCTGCTGATGTTCAGGTGTATATCAGTATTTAGTACAAGTTAAGGCAAAGAAACTTGATGTTGTTTCGTGTTTATTGTGAGTAAACTGTCTCTCTGCAGCTGCTGATGAGGAGAGTCAGGGTTTGCTCTGCAGCGCTCATGAATTTGTCGGTATGGACATCAGCGGTGACCCCAGCTGTCTCTGTCGGGCGAGTTTTGCCAACGATAACAAATGGGAAGGTGTTTTGGGTAAGACTTTTTCAACATCACAGACCTCACAATTCATGTATTCCAACTTTCTTTGGGCAAAAAACTACTAATGAGAAGGACTCAGATCTTCTCCTTAGGGAAAAGAAGCAAAAGGTCATTGTATAAATACTTAATTTTAAAGTAAACGTTTTATTTGACTTAACCTTTGTGTTGTCTTACTATCCGCTGTGCATCTTTTGTCCTCCCGTTTTGACTGTTTATGAAGCATGAAGAACAACACATAACTTTTTGTAATTTTAAGCCAACTTAAAGGTAGGGTAGGTAAGTTTGAGAAACCGGCTCGAGATCGCTAGAATTTGAAAATACACAACCGGAGAAAATCTGCCACTTCCTTACAGAGCCCCTCCTCCAACACACACGAACGTGCACATGACCAATGAGGGCACGAGATAAGTTTGTGCACAGATGGAAGGCTGACAGGCAGGTAGGCCATCCAGTTATTTTAGCAGGGCCGGCTCAAATGATTGGTCGTGCTTTTTACAGTACTACGGCTTCCACAGATGATATTTTTTTATGGATTTTTTGTCAAAGCACTTAAGATATTCATTGCTATCGGGATGTTAAGAGCATTCCATGGAATATAACAAAAAGTGTATCTCGAGCCGGTTTCTCAAACGTACCTACCCTACCTTTAATTCTGACTTATTACCACAAGTTTGACTCTTCTTTTTTTTAATTCATGGCCAAAAGAACACATTTACACACAATGTAACCTAATGTAATAGTTAATAAAATGAAAAACAATCACAAAATGTACACAAAAAAACCCACAGATGCTATAAATTTGAAATAAATCACACCTTATTCAGTCAATGGATCAGTTTTACCTGCCGAAGAACCTAGTATATGGAACCATACATGTTATTTTTGTGGCTATAAAACGATATTAATCCCTTATTCCGATATAAAAAACCTTTGGAAACAGGACTAATCTGAGACAGAACGCTTACGTTTTTTGTGAATCAGCAGATAATATTCCCTGAGATATCTTGCTTGTTTATGTTTTTTCATAATCCTGTGTCTTCGCTGTTTTTTTTCAGAAAACCCGACAGTGTGCAGCCCGAACTCTGCCTCACTCACCCTGGCTGGTTGTCTCTTGAGGGCAAGAGGTGTGGACTACCGGGTTTTACACCTGAACGACAACACCTGCAAGGGTCAGATGGACGATACGACCCACATGGTGACCTTCAGCTTTAACAGCAGCACCCCCTGTGGGACGGAGATCCTGGTGAGTGTCTCTCTTTTCCTAAAGGTGTCCAACAAAGTGTCCAACAAAGTGTCCCATACAAAGTGTCCAACAAAGTGTCCTACACAGTTTCCAACAAAGTGTAAACAAAGTGCTTTTCAGAGTCTCGAGTCTCATGTCTTTGAATTTGGCAGGCAAGTTTTGCAACTCTCCAAAAATAGAAAATCTGACAATGAATCTCCCTTCAGGCAGTTTGAAAGTCTGCTTGCAAGAAAGTCAGATTTCAAGTTTTTTTTTTTTAGATACTTGTAGATTTAGAATCGCATTATTAACACATAATCAATACATCCTACATTCAACATTTCACTTAAAGAGTCCTCTCCTGCTGATGTTCAGGTGTATATCAGTATGTACTGTCTCTACTTTAAAGAGTCCTCTCCTGCTGATGTTCAGGTGTACATCAGTATGTAGTGTCTCTACTTTAAAGAGTCCTCTCCTGCTGATGTTCAGGTGTATATCAGTATGTAGTGTCTCTACTTTAAAGAGTCCTCTCCTGCTGATGTTCAGGTGTATATCATAGTGTCTCTACTTTAAAGAGTCCTCTCCTGCTGATGTTCAGGTGTATATCAGTATGTACTGTAGTGTCTCTACTTTAAAGAGTCCTCTCCTGCTGATGTTCAGGTGTATATCAGTATGTAGTGTCTCTACTTTAAAGAGTCCTCTCCTGCTGATGTTCAGGTGTATATCAGTATGTAGTGTCTCTACTTTAAAGAGTCCTCTCCTGCTGATGTTCAGGTGTATATCAGTATGTAGTGTCTCTACTGGGACATGTCTCCATGCTTTATTGTTCAAAAAGCTCTTTATTTTTCTCATACTGCCTGTGCTGCAGCACCTCTTTTCACCCTCTGTCTGAAAACAGAGCCCAGTCTGCTCTGATTGGTTAGCTGGCCGGCTCTGTTGTGATTGGTCAACTGCTTACAAATGACCCGCCCCTTAGCCTTTCACGTACAATGTGTTGGAGCGCTAGCCAATAGGAGTGTGAGTGTTACATAGGGATGTAAACAAAGGAGTCCAATGGAGGCGTTTCAGGCAGGGAGTGTGTAGGAGAGAAACTCCCTCTGGAGGGAACACAGGGATTTTAGACTTTGCAGACCATTTACACACTACAGGAGAGGGACACCCAAACAAACATAATAGGGCCTCTTTAAGACAAATGTTCTGAGTACTGAGTCCAACGCTGTTTGGTGTTTGATGTAATGCTATATCCATACAGTCAAAAATAATTGCAGTCCGATGACAACTTTATTTAAAGCAGCTTTATTAAGCCTAAAGCCTTCAAGATTAAAGTTTCCTGCTCTTCTGACAGCATGCAGCAAATACCACTGACTGAATACCTCTCTCTCTCTGCAGACCACAGACCAAAAGATCACCTACAAAAACGTCATCAAGATAGATGACAATGTCCCGTCCAGTAGGATTTCTCGCAGTGACTTGATTAATATGAACTTCTCCTGCTACTTCAACCAGCCGACACGCAAGTCCTTGAGCTTCAAATTGAAAGGAGGGTAAGGGTATACTCATCACAAAATTCACAAGGAAAGAATTAGACAAAACCTGCAACAAGCTTGTGTGTGTGTGTGTGTGTGTGTGTGTGTGTGTGTGTGTGTGTGTGTGTGTGTGTGGGTGTGTGTGTGTGTGCATGTATTACTGGTGTTGTGGGGAGGTATATTTGGTAACACAGTCACAGGGACTCACAGTCCTTATCGGGAAAAAATGCAAGTCCTTGTAACGTTCATTTTAGGGTGAAGTCTACAGAAAGACAAGTTAAATAAATATACGTCAATGTAATGTCCTCTTAGATACACGACTGTGTGTGTATAGGTATGTATTACTGACATTGTGGGGACATATATTTGTTTACACAGTCGCATTGTGGGGACTCGCAGTCCTTTAGATAGGTAGATAGATGGATAGATAGATAGATAGATAGATAGATAGATAGATAGATAGATAGATAGATAGATAGATAGATAGATACTGGTTTAATGTAGGGTTAGGATAAGTCAAAATGAGTGGTTATGGTTAAAAAAAAGTCAAGTGAAATCGCTGTAAGTCAATGTGATATATTAAAACACAGAGGTGGGAAGTAGTGGAGTACAAATACTTTGTTACTGTACTTAAGTACATTTTTCTGGTATCAGTACTTTACTCCACTACTTATTTTTCTGATGACTTTTTACTTTTACTTCTTACATTTTTAACACAAATACCTGTACTTTCTACTTCGTACATTTTCCAAACAGGCTGGTTACTTTAGTTTGAATGTGTGTTTGGTGGCGTGATCATTATTATTTAAAGTCATTGCGTGCCTATTGATTTGAACACGATTCGTGTATCCATCATTTCCTGGGGCCTATACTACGAAGCCGGATTTCCGCTTAGCCGGCTAACTTCAGGGAAAACTCGGGCTTTCCGGTCCTACGACGCTGGTTCTCTTTTTAGCGGGCTAGATCTCCATGGTAACTTATGCTGAGTGGCTAACCTCCTCGGGAGGAGGTTAGGTTGCAGGCTAAGAGATCAACTCAGTGAAAGCACCGCCTGCTGACCAATCAGAGCTCCGTGTGCAGAGTTTAAAGCGATCAAGTCATATTACAGGATAGAGGAAATACAGAAAAACTGCCGTTGCAGGAAAGACGGCCGGCAAAAATCAACTGACTGTGTGAACGTGAAAATTAATAGAATATCCCCTCCCATCTTCAGAGCAATCTGACTATTATAACATTAGCGTTAAGAAAGCTTACTTAAATATCTGCCACAACATAAGTAACCGGATCAGAGTAACATTAAGTACAGTCCGCGGCACTGTGAGTGCAGACGTCGATGTGTCCCATTATCATTCATATCATATCACATCATAATGTATCATATATTTCCTTATTTGAGTCAGCTTCTTGAGCCGTATCTGGCCGTGCAACACTCACAGTGTCACATACTGTATGCAGAAGTATTATTTTAAGCAACACATTAAGTTGACGAAACACTCGAGTGAAATGTAATTAAAGTCAGATCCACTCGTGTCTTGGACGGGGAAGTGATATCATAAACCTGTTAATGTACGCATTCAAACACTTTTTCTTTTACCAGCTGTATTCACCTTGCAGGTGCAGCTATGTGGCTTTTATCCTGGATAAAGTGTTTAAGTCATGGATGTTTAAAGTTTAACTTCTTCATATTTGACTAATATTAAAGTTCACTTTTCATTCAGGAAGTATGACGCTGCGCTGTCAGTACGCTTGTCCATGTTTGTGATTGGTCAAATGCTCCAAATACCACCCCTTTCATGTGAACGCGCACCTAACTAGATAGGACACGGCTGGCTTGAGCGATCCACTTGATAACCAGCGTCGTAGTACAGCTTAACGAGAGCGCGTATGTTTTGGATTGGGCCAACCGGCTAACTCAAACATATCCAGGTTAGGTTGAACCAGCTTCGTAGTACAGGCCTCTGGTCTTCTCTAAAGAAGAGGGACCAATGAAAACGTTGTCATGTTGCCGTTGTTCAGCATGGAAACATTCATTAGCTAACAATGACATTATTGTTCTATTAATATAAAGGGAGGTCAGGTACTCTTTAAAACAGCTGCTAGTTATGGGTACTTTTTACTTAAGTACATTTCAAAGCCCTCTTTACTTTGACTTGAGTAAAGAAGTTTAGTCAGTACTTCTACTTTTACCAGAGTATTTTTAAACACGAGTATCTGTACTTCTACTTGAGTAAAGGATGTGTGTACTTTTGCCATCTCTGTTAAAACTTGACTGTGTGTGTGATCTGCAGCTCAGCACTGCAGCAGATTCAGTCTGGATCCTGGAACTACACCCTGTCTATGACCATGTGTACGGACATCACGTGCACTGAAGAGTTTGACTTCTCTGGCGGGGTCCAGATGGATCAGACCATCTACATGAGCATGGACGCCGTAGGGCTGGACGGAAACATCCTCACCCTCGTCGTGGAGGAAGCCTTTGCGACCGATAACACCGGAGGCATAACTCAGAGATATGACCTTATCATAGACGGGTGAGTGGTGGTCTTTTTTTTAAATGAATGTAGCTTTAGCTTAACAAGGTTACTGCTAAAGTCAAAGTCAACTTTATTGTCAATCTTTCAGTTTGTGTGTACAGACAGAGAGATCGAAATACCGTTTCCCACAATCCCGAATTGACACGATGGGCTCACAGGAACTCAGATGCACGATTCAGTTTTAACTCAAAAATATATTTTATTTATATATAAGACTAAAGTTGCAAACTTAAGGCTACAAACAAAATCACTTAAAGGTAGGGTAGGTAATTTTGAGAAACCGGCTCGAGATACACTTTTTGTTATAATCCATGGAATGCTCTTAACATCCCGATAGCAATGAATATCTTAAGTGCTTTGACAAAAAATCCATAAAAAAATGTCATCTGTGGAAGCCGTAGTACTGTAAAAAGCACGACCAATCATTTTAGCCGGCCTGGCTAAAATAACTGGATGGCCTACCTGCCTGTCAGCCTTCCATCTGTGCACAGACTTATCTCGTGCCCTCATTGGTCATGTGCGCGTTCGTGTGTGTTGGAGGAGGGGCTCTGTAAGGAAGTGGCAGATTTTTTCCGGCTGTGTATTTTCAAATTCTAGCGCACTCGAGCTGGTTTCTCCAAAATGACCTACCCCACCTTTAATAGAATAGGAAAACTTCGATAATAAACAAAAGATCACTAGGTTCTACTAGGTTGCTCAAAAGACTCACTATGATTACAGACATGGACTCGACGTGGAGACAAGACGAACTGGCACAAGACAAAGGGAGACAAGGGCTATATATACACACAGACACATTAGGTAATGGGGCACAGGTGGAAACAATCAGGGGCAGGAACAACAATCAGGCTGACAGGTGACACACAGGGGCAGGAAGTGAAGACAACTGAAACGAGAGAGTCGAGTCATTTACCAAAATAAAACGGAAGGTGACAAGACTAGGAACACAAGACATTAAACTAAAAGGATTTGAACGCTGAAACCTTACACGACTATAACAACAAATATATATAAAGATATGTACGCAAATATGTATATCCTATATATATATACACACAATCAACAGACACATTTACATATGCACACATTAAGACCTAAATAAAACACAACAATCAATATACAAAAATAACAGTCACTTCAATATCTTTGACGTGTAAGTATAATGAAAATGTATTGGTTTTTATTTTCTGCAATATTCACGAATCCAATGCAATAATCCAATGGCTTTTTATCGAAGGAACCAAGCTTGATGCTATCTTCAGGGTTATCAGTCCTTACGGGGACAAAATCCAAGTCCTTGTCAGCCTACAAAAACAAACTGCACGACTCTATTTGTAGTTTTTCAGGAGGTCAAGCTTCTGTGTTTTCTTGCAGCTGCGGGAACCCGGAGGACAATACGGTGAAGACGGTGTTTAACGAAAACGGAGGAACTATTATAGCCTTCCAGATGTTTCAGTTCAAAGGAAGCAACAGCGGCCTGGACCTGGGCTTCAGGATGAAGCTGTGTCTGACGAGCGACAAAAAGTGCATGCCGGTAAAAAAAAAAAACACAAACAGACACATTAGCTTAGCTACACCAGCTAAAGACACATCTTTTTAGATTAGCTTTTTATTAGCAACCCCCCACTTTAAATGTTCTTTTAGTCTTTATTATTAACCTACCTTTATATTGTCTGTTTGTTCTTAACAAATAATCTGGGGGAATTTCTTGTTTGTTTCTAACTTGTGATGTGTCGCCATTTTGTAAAGCACTTTGAGCTGCATGAGTTGTAAGAAAAGTGCTATATAAATAAAGCTTTATTATTATTATTATTATTATTATTATTATTATTATTATTATTATTATAATAGCAATAGCCATTAGTTTTTATTACTCTTTGTCTAATTTGGATGTCAATTGTTTTAGCTTACATATTTATTAGCATTTAGTGCAGGTTTGCCCTATTAGCAGCTCCTGTGTAACCGGAGTGATAAATGTAGAACTATGAGTGGAATACTTTGCTGACGTGTAATGTAATGAAGTACATTTACTCAAGTATTGTAGTTAAGTGCAGTTTTGAATACTTCACTTGAACATTTCAATTTTATCCCAATTCTTTAAAGGGCACCTATCATGCAAAACGCACTTTTTGATGTCTTTTATACATAAATATATGTCCCCGGTGTGTCGGGGAACTCATGCAGCGTCAGAAAATAAAACCCTCTCTCTTTTCCTCCGTACCCACATCTTTTAAAAACGGGGGTACAGCGAGCGGATACAGATTTGCTGCCGATATTACGTAATTTCAGAAACAATGCCTGACGTGTTTTTGACGTAATATGGTATTTGTTTATATTAGCATCGCTAACACTCAGAGCTAACCTGTACTGGAGAGCACATGTGTTGAAAAAGCAGGAAATAAAAAAAAAGGAACTCACCTTGTGATAAACCCGCAAGAGAAAAATAATTTGAGCTCCATACTGTTTCAGAAATAATCCTTGATGTGGTTTAGAACAGGATGGCGTTTCATCACAGCAGAATTTAACTTTATCTCCGGTTGAATTCTGATCAGGCATTAGCTCCGCCTCCTCTGACTCAGAATCAGCGTTTCTCTAACAGCTGAAATAGAGGGATATGAGGGATTTCTAAAATGCATGATCTGTTTGTATTTTGAGCAAAACACATCATAGACATGTTTTTATATATTTGTATATATCTGAGACCCATAATATATGCCTAAAAATAGCATGATAGGACACCTTTAACATTTGGGATTTAAAAAAAAGAACGTGATAAACTACATTTTTAAAGCTCATATTGTATTTTCTACTCTCCTACATTTATCTGATAGCTTTAGTTACTTCACAGACTCAGATTATTAGCTTATCCAAAATATAATCAAACCAATAAATGATATATATTATTGTAGGTTAAGAAGATATCCAGCAGCATTATATAACGTAATTAAATGAGCTCGAAAAAAATGTGTATGCAATACTTTTGGACTTTTGATTGTGACTAAGTATTTTTACAATTTAGTACTACTACTTCTACTTAAAGTAATATATATATATATATATTTCTTCCAACCCCTTTACCTTTACACTGAACAACAACCTTACAAACTGTGTGTCTGTCTTTATCTTTAGCAATGCAGCAGTAAACGCAAAAGGAAAAGGAGATCTTCAAATTCTCAAAATAAAGAAGATGAGAACGTCATCTTGGTCTCTGTGGACTGGAACTAGGTAAGACCGTAAACACAAAGGCGGTAATATATCGCTATTTTATCATGATATGAGACTAGATATTGTACTAGATTTCGGATATCGTAATAAAACCGTACTGTTATTAATTCTAGTTTCTCCCTCTTAGATCGACTGATTGATCGGCCGTTGACCTCCTGACTTTTGCTTTGCCCCCGATCAAGATTCAAGTCGTAATTGTTCGTCCTGATGCAGAGAAGAGGATTATGTTTTATGTTTACCTTTCCACTTAAACTTAATTAAGTTGCATTGCAGCCACAAGCTTAACAATACATTGAATTGATATAGCACGCTTTAAAATACAGCAAAATCTCAAGGTGCTTTACGAAAGAAAGCAGAAACAATCATTGTGCGATTTGATAATACAAGTTAAAATAGGATAAATACAATTAAAGTTTAAAAGCATAACACCTAAGAGACAAAATAAAAACACAAAATATTAGATTTTAAAGGTCACCTATCATGCTATTTTTAGGCAATAGCATAGGTCTCAGATATATAAAAATATATAAAAAACATGTCTATGAAGTGTTTTGCTCAAAATACCAAACAGATCACCCATTCTAGCCATGCCTCATATCCCTCTATTTCACTTCCTGTTTCTAAAGTGCTGATTTGGGGTATAAAGCTTTAAAAAAAATTATAATAAAGAGGGGCGGAGCTTATGCGGGAGATTCTACCCGCAGCTACGGTCTAAATACTAAAACTAAATACTGCGGTGATGACACGCCATATCATGGATTATCAAGGATTGTTTCTGAAACAGTATGGAGCTCAAAGGCTTTCTCTCTTGCCGGTTATACCACAAGGTGAGTTCCTTTTTATTTCCTGCTTCTTCACACACATGCTCTCCAGTACAGGTTAGCTCTGAGTGTTAGCGATGCTAATGTAAACACAGAACATATTACGTCCAAAACAGTCGGGCATTGTTTCTGATAGCAACGTTTCTGATAGGGCCGTGGGTCCACATTTCAGATATTACGTCATATCGGACGCAAATCTGAATCAGCTCCGTTGTTCCCCCGTTTTTAGAGATTTGGGTACGGAGGAAAAGAGAGAGGGTTTTATTTTCTGACGCTGCGTGAGTTCCCCGACACACCAGGGACACATCTTTATGTATAAAAGACATCAAAAAGTGCATTTTGCATGATAGGTCCCCTTTAAAAAAGCGAATAAGTCCACGGCTCTTCGTCTTCTTTCCGTAATTTTTTTGTTTAAAATTTGACTATTTTCAATGTACAATTTAATTGATTTAGTTTTCTTGCAACTGCAATTTCTCTTCAGTTCTTTTGTGTTTTCTTCTGAGTTTCCTTTTCTACATGTCTGAGTTTCTGTCGGAGAGCACGCAGCCTGCCGGTCTTTATAACAGTCAGTTTTATCTCAGCTGTTAATGTCACTTTAGTTTCAATCAGTGCAAAAGAAACCTCATTCTTCAGATGTAAAAGAAGCTTTGTGATGAATGTTTAGATGAGAAAAAGTCCATCTCACTGACGACGGCTGGCTGCTGCTTATGTTTGTCTAGCACCAAAAAAATAAATAAAAAATGGGGATGTGGGTAAAAGACACACGAGTTTGAGTGATCTTTTTTGTTTTCAGCACTTTCAAACAGTCTGCAGTTTGGTCATTTTGTGTCCGTCTTATAAACATTAAACTACAAGGTTTTTAAATTGGATTTTTACATTTTGGAATTATGGGGAAAAGCCACTTGTGAGTTTGCATGTTTTTTTGGTGACATCACACATCATGAGTCGACCAAGACACTCTGGGGGCCCCAAGCAGAAGGGACATGACACCTCGCTCCGGCAACACCTCCGACAGCACCCCCCCACCCGGAGCGGAGCAGCGCCACTGACATTATGAGCTTTTGATGGCGCGCTATGCATGGGGACCCCTTGCAGTAAATTAAAGGGGGTTTCATGATGTGGTTGCTGTGGACCTTCTTAATCTACCTTCTTTGGGGGCCGAGAGAGGTTTTAGTTTGAAAATGTACCTGAAATCTGAGAAAATTGTAGATTTGAATGTGTACACACATGCTATAGGAAAAGTATCTTCATAAATAGTAAATGAATATGAATAATATACACGAGTTAACAATCAGACACCAGGCTGTTGAGTGACAAAGTGTGTATTTATATTATCTTCCCCCCCCCCACACACACACATCTTTAGTTACAGTTGGTGCTCAGTGTCGAGTAATCATAATAATAATATAAGCAATAGTTGTCTTCAAATATAGAGTGATACACTTTATACAAAATACCCTGCATATTAATGTCAAGTTTAATTAAGAATAAAAGTAATTTAAGTGACATGAGGAAAGAGTGATGTCATAGTTTCTGTGATCGCCACCAGGGGGCGCCACTCTGTTTTCACACTGCAGACCTAGTATCAATGAATCAAAATGACATTATTTATCAATTTATGTACTTTTTGGAGACTCAAATGTCTTAAAGCGAAAAGTGTCAAAACAGAAAAGCTCCTCACAGTGGAGAGACCAGAGAAACATCTTTATAACATCATAAAATGTAAATATATACAGAATATATTCTTTTGAAATGCCCATAGCATCCTTTGAGTGTTTGTTGTTCCTGAAGAGTTTTGGTTGACAGACGGTTGAGGGAATATTTGGCTAAAAGTCTGAACGACAAACCTGCAAACTGACGGGTCGACACACAGAAAGACTGCTTTTTAATGCCAGAAATTCAAATTAAATTCAGTTTTTTATCCCATACATTCCTAAATAAATTCGTTTTTGTATCCAAGAAAGTCAAATGTAATTAGGTTTGTTGTCATGTTCCTATCTGACGGTTTACATCTGACTTCCTCTCAAAGAAATGCAGCTCTTTTTCATTTAATAACAAAAAAACTGTCTCATAAACATTTGGATTTATGCATTTTCTTTGAATACTTATCCTTTTACTATTTGAGCATCTGTATCTCATCCTTACAAGAAAACTATATTACCATTGTGACATCGTTAACTTATTTTTAATTAAATACATTCCTTGTAAATATGAGATAACTAATTTGCAGAATTATAAAATATACTGACAAGTCTTAATTATGAGATTTCTTGTGTGTTTTTGTCTAGTGTGAATTCCCTGTCTAAATTCTTCCTGATGGACCCGAGCAGTTTGCAGGTCGTCACACAGACGTGGTTTCGTACAAACAGTCGTAAATATGAGTGCAAAGGCATGCAGCACCACCGCCTCCACCTCCCAGTGCAACGTCTGTAACAGCTAAAAAAAACAAAAAAAACTCTGAAGTGTTACAAGTTATAAAACAGAGATTATAACTCTGCATTTTGTGAACAAACGAAAAGCTAAAAAACCTTCATTCCATCCTGCTGCAGGACTGGAAGCAGGACCACGGTGTACAGAACAGAGATAATCAAATAGAAGAGTGATGCATTCATGCTGCGCTGGTAAAGACAGCGTGTCAAGTAAAGTGAAGTTTCTGGAAGATTAAAGGTCCCGGATTCAGAGAGGAAGTTTGGTTTGAAGCTGAACTGAAAGTGACTGAGCGTGCAGACTGAAGGCTGGAGAACAGATATATATATCACTGCATTAATGTGCACACTGAAGGCGTGTCGCGATGCTTTAATGTGCAGAAACGTGAAGTGTTTTTACAGAGGAACAGTGTGAGGTCGTGGATGGAGGTGGAGCAAAAGCATACAAAACTATACGTGTATATCTTATATCTTGTATTGAGTGGTGTTTGGTAATTACGAGTATCTGGGTCTGTACTTATTTGTATTTTTGTATTCTATTATATATGTTGCATTGTTAGAGGAGCTCATTGCCATTTCTACACTGTAGCTTATGTGCACATGACAATTAAACCTTTGAATCTTTTGAATCTAAGTATCAGGTCGCCTTCCAGTGGACTTTATCTGTGTGTAATGTGTATTAAATCAAAATGATTGCAACAAAAAGATGCAATTTAAGTATTAAGCAAAAGGTATATTCTTCCAGTATCGCTCATCTAACGCTCACTGAATGAAATGCTTTGTTGTAACATAAATATGTGCAATAATACAAATTTAAAGGGCCCATGTCATGCTTTCCCGGTTATTACCCGTCCCCTTGTGTGTTATGAAGCTTTTTCTGCATGTGAACGGTCTGCAGAGTCACAAATCCTCAAAGTACACTCTGTAGCGAGTAAAACTCTAACACAGAAAATACCTGTCTATGCTGCCCCAGAACGCCTCGTTGGAGATTTCTCTTTTTCCATTGTTTACTTCTTGGGTATAGTGACGTATTTCGGGTATAGTAACGTAACGTCCGCGGAGCCGTTACGTTTGGACCAATCCGCGGACTCGGCGGGACAGTGTGAGCCGGCTCACTGGTGTGGGGTCGGCGAGACAGCGAGACACCGCGGAACTCAGCCTGAGCACACACACAAACTCCCAGCCAGGCTGCGGGTGTGTGTGTGTGTGTGTTCGGGCTGGGTTTCGCTGTGTCTCGCTGTCTCGCAGACGGCCACTGGGCTCACAGGGAGGGGGGGAGGGGGGGGGGCAGGAGCTCCAACAAGCCGTGTAGGACAGAGAGTGAATACACATACTATACAGAGATGCTGTATGAGAAACCAATGTGAGTTTGGAACATTGAACAATATACATATATTTTAGTAGACCTCAACAATGGAATTATGATCAGTAGAAATGGCCATGACACGGGACCTTTAAGTGTAGGTGTGTAAAACGGCATATCTGCATACAGTTTGATTTGTGTTTGGAGTTTTGAATTACTCGGACGTTTGACCTCCAACTAACGGTTACATTAAAATATGTAGGGAAGGTGTTAACGTCTCTGTGCAGTGTGAAATGAATAACTAGTTTGATATTAGTTACTTTAAATAGTTTTAAAGTTGAATGTTATGTAAAGAAACGACAGATTTGAATACGGGACCTTTAAGTGCCACTCTGAAAACCTTCAGTGTGAGTTTCCACGTGGAATCTGCCTGTGCTGAGTGTTAGTGCTGCATTCATGTTCATCAGATGAACTTAGTTACAATAATTAGATTTCTTTCTTTTTTTAAAACAGTGCAGCTACTGTCAGTGTGCTTGGCAGAGACAAGAGTCGAGACAAAGAGAGGAAATCTGCAGAGTAGAAAACATTTAGACTCACTAAAAAGTCTCTTCAGATGCTGCTGGAGGAAAAAAATTAAACGTCCGGTTAAAATTGAGCAGACGGCTCGAGAACCGCCCCCCGACCCACAGTTTGAGAAACAGATCAAACTCTTCTGTTAAAGTCTTCTTCTGACAGATCTCTCCAGAGCAGCTGAGGTCCAACAGATTAACAACTGAAGGTGTGAGTTCATAAGAAACCTGTGCAATGGAAACAGAAGGAAAAGAAACATTCTGGTGTTTTTATATTCGAGCAAATTAACCACAAATCCTGTTAACTTCTAAATCTGTAGGTCCAATATTTAAATCTGGTGTTCTTTTAAGGTGTTGACCTTAACGGAGAAATGTGAAGTTAAAGAGGTCTTTTTTCAGGTGTATATCAGTATGTAGTGTCTCTACTTTAAAGAGTCCTCTCCTGCTGATGTTCAGGTGTATATCAGTGTGTAGTGTCTCTACTTTAAAGAGTCCTCTCCTGCTGATGTTCAGGTGTATATCAGTATGTAGTGTCTCTACTTTAAAGAGTCCTCTCCTGCTGATGTTCAGGTGTATATCAGTATGTAGTGTCTCTACTTTAAAGAGTCCTCTCCTGCTGATGTTCAGGTGTATATCAGTATGTAGTGTCTCTACTTTAAAGAGTCCTCTCCTGCTAATGTTCAGGTGTATATCAGTATGTAGTGTCTCTACTTTAAAGAGTCCTCTCCTGCTGATGTTCAGGTGTATATCAGTATGTAGTGTCTCTACTTTAAAGAGTCCTCTCCTGCTGATGTTCAGGTGTATATCAGTATGTAGTGTCTCTACTTTAAAGAGTCCTCTCCTGCTGATGTTCAGGTGTATATCAGTATGTAGTGTCTCTACTTTAAAGAGTCCTCTCCTGCTGATGTTCAGGTGTATATCAGTATGTAGTGTCTCTACTTTAAAGAGTCCTCTCCTGATGATGTTCAGGTGTATATCAGTATGTAGTGTCTCTACTTTAAAGAGTCCTCTCCTGCTGATGTTCAGGTGTATATCAGTATGTAGTGTCTCTACTTTAAAGAGTCCTCTCCTGCTGATGTTCAGGTGTATATCAGTATGTAGTGTCTCTACTTTAAAGAGTCCTCTCCTGCTGATGTTCAGGTGTATATCAGTATGTAATGTCTCTACTTTAAAGAGTCCTCTCCTGCTGATGGTCAGGTGTATATCAGTATGTAGTGTCTCTACATGTCTCCATGCTTTAATGTTCAAAAAGCTCTTTATTTTTCTCATACTGCCTGTGCTGCAGCACCTCTTTTCACCCTCTGTCTGAAACCAGAGCCCAGTCTGCTCTGATTGGTCAGCTGGACGCTTATATAAAGTCTAGTCGACCTTCAGTAACAATTTATATATGAAAACATCTGTAAATGAACAGAGTTTGTGATGAATGAATACATAAAAACACCAGAATGCTCCTGAAAGAGTGTCTCTGCTGGTAGTCGTGTTGTGTTTGGTGTCTGAAGGCTTGTGTTGATCTCTCTTTGCCGCTCTCTCTCTCTCTCTCTCTCTCGCTCTCTCTCTCGCTCTCTCTCTCTCTTAAAACCCTCAAAAGTTTGTTTTTCTGTCGATTAAACCCCCCTCCCGCTACCACATGTACGTCTTTGTGGTGTCGATCTGTCTCCCCCCAGCTTCCTCCCCTCTCTCTCCATCCTCCTTGTCCTCCTTGTCCTTCTCGGCCTCGCTCTCCCACAGCGTGATTAATGGCGGATAGAGCTCGTTCAGAGGGATGGAGGTGGCGTGTTGCATGTATTTCTTCAGCGAGTGGCCGCAGGACTTGTGCTGTTGGACTCTGCGACCCATGTAGAAAACGAGCAGCGCCATGATGGACAGAGCGAACATCGAACCCATGACGGCGGCGAGCGCCACGCTGCTGCGCCGAGACGCCACCAACTCCACGGAGAAACCCGCCTCCTTCGTGGTGACGTTCAGACAGGAAGTGTGGACGGGGGAGGAAGAGGAAGGGGAGGAAGAGGAGGAGGGGTAGAGAGGGGCGGAGTAGACGGTGAGGCAGACGTGGTACTCTGTAGCAGGAAGGAGGTGAGTCAGGTTATACTCCTGAACATCCACTGGAACCTGAGGAGAGACAAGGGATTGTTTTATTAAATGTTTGTTTTTTTCAAATTTGTTGAAGTGTTTGGTTAAAATTTCTTTAAATGTTTTACTATTTGAAAGAAACATGGATTGTCTGTGGGGTATTTTATGAAACGTTTTGTGTTTTTTCGATGCCTTTTGAATAGTTCTTTGAGTGTGTGTGTGCTCACCTTGGCAGTGTAGCTGATCTGAGGGTTGTCGATGTGCACCGTGGCGCTGGTCCAGCGGGTCAGAGGGAGGTCCTGCTGGTTCTGACCCACAGACGAAGCTCCTCTGCTGGGAAACAACTTCCACTCCAACACCACCGACTGGGCGTGCACCAGCTGCACAGGAAACACTCATTTAGTAATCATTACCAACACCAAGATACAATATATGATCTTAAAGGTCTCCTATCATGCTATTTTGAGGCATATATTATGGGTCTCAGATATATACAAATATATAAAAACATGTGTATGATGTGTTTTGCTCAAAATATCAAACAGATCATGCATTTTAGAAATCCCTCATATCCCTCTGTTTCAGCTGTTAGAGAAACGCTGATTCTGGGTCCTTAGCTTGAAAAAAGGGTTAGAGGAGGCGGAGCTTGTGCCTGCTCAGAATTACCCGGCAGATACTCAGCTAAATGCTGCCGTGATTAAACGCCATCATGTTCCAAACCACATCAAGGATTATTTCTGAAACAGTATGCAGCTCAAAGGCTTTCTCTCTTGCCGGTTATACCACAAGGTGAGTTCCTTTTTATTTCCTGCTTCTTTACACATACTCTCTCCAGTACAGGTTAGCTCTGAGTGTTAGCGATGCTTGCTAATGTAAACACAGACCATATTACGTCTAAAACAAATTTTAGAGATTTGGGTACGGAGGAAAAGAGAGAGGGTTTATACATATTTCTGTATACAAGACATCAAAAAGTGCATTTTGCATGATAGGAGAGCTTTAAAATACTCTTATTGTTATATTTTAAACGGAGCAGGTACCTTGGCCAGCACCACCAGAGAGGCTGAAGCTCCTGAAGAGTTCCCCAGCCAGGAGGCCTCTCTACTGGGATCCCCTCCCGACCACGAGCCCCCCTGAGAGTCAACGGACACAGAGACACTCTTCGTGTCGGCGCCATCCATGTTCCACGCCACACAGGTATACACACCTGAGAGAGAGAAACGCCATGTTATCTGTTAGAGAGATCTCACTCGTCACCGGCTTGAGCTTCAAAACAGGATCCATGTATTTATGATCCTCTCCAGAATGGAAGTAGTCATCACATACAGAGCATTTGGTACAACCAGAGGTGGGAAGTAGTGGAGTACAAATACTTCGTTACTGTACTTAAGTACATTTTTCTGGTATCAGTACTTTACTCCACTACTTATTTTTCTGATGACTTTTTACTTTCTACTTCTTACATGTTGAACACAAATACCTGTACTTTCTACTTCTTACATGTTGAACCCAAATACCTGTACTTTCTACTTCTTACATGTTGAACACAAATACCTGTACTTTCTACTTCTTACATGTTGAACACAAATACCTGTACTTTCTACTTCTTACATGTTGAACTCAAATACCTGTACTTTCTACTTCTTACATTTTGAACACAAATACCTGTACTTTCTACTTCTTACATGTTGAACCCAAATACCTGTACTTTCTACTTCTTACATTTTGAACACAAATACCTGTACTTTCTACTTCTTACATGTTGAACACAAATACCTGTACTTTCTACTTCTTACATGTTGAACACAAATACCTGTACTTTCTACTTCTTACTTGTTGAACACTAATACCTGTACTTTCTACTTCTCACATTTCCCAAACAGGCTGGTTCCTTTAGTTTGAATGTGTGTTTGGTGGCGTGATCATTATTATTTAGAGTCATTGCGTGCCTATTGATTTGAACACGATCCGTGTATCCATCATTTCCTGGTCTTCTCTAAAGAAGAGGGACCAATGAAAACGTTGTCATGTTGCCGTTGTTCAGCATGGAAACATTCATTAGCTAACAATGACATTATTGTTCTATTAATATAAAGGGAGGTCAGGTACTCTTTAAAACAGCTGCTAGTTATGGGTACTTTTTACTGAAGTACATTTCAAAGCCCTCTTTACTTTTACTTGAGTAAAGAAGTTTAGTCAGTACTTCTACTTTCACCAGAGTATTTTTAAACACGAGTATCTGTACTTCTACTTTTGCCGTCTCTGGTTATGTGGTAGATCAATCAGTCTGACCTGCGTCTGAAAGCTCTGCGTGTTCGATCACCAACGCGCCGGGCTCAGACATCCGATGCTTCTTCTTCTTCTTCCTGCTTAAGCCCCGCCCCTCCTCTGATATGATTGGTGCAGCCACGGCCTCAGAGCTCACCTGAACACAGGTATAAAATAAATTAACATTCAAGTCATCAGTCTTTCCTAATAACATAACTATGTATTTAGATGATTTGGTTTTTATTTTAATATGTATATAGGTTTTAGATTATTACTATTTCAATTTTTAGAACAGTTTAAAGCAATTTAATAACACAAAATATGTCATATTATATTCAAGAATTAATTTACAACATTTCCCAACAGACAAGGAGAGGAAAGGAAGAAGAGGTGAAGGGAGAGGATAAGAGAGGATAGGAGGACAATAATAAGGAAACAAGGAAAGGAAACAAAGAAAGGAGAGAAGAGGAAAACACACACACACACACACACACACACACACACACACACACACACACACACACACACACACACACACACACACACACACACACACACACACACACACACACACACCTTGTCTCCGGTGGGCGTCACCCAGTAGAACTGTGGGGGGGGGTCGGCGTCGGCCCAGCACTCGAGCGTGATTGGCTGCCCGCCGCTGACGTTCATGGCGGGGGGGAACGCTCGGGGGGAGATGTGAGGGAGGCAGGAGTTAACCCCCCCTCCATCTCCATTTTCTCCGTCTTTTTCTCCCTCTCCTCCCCCCTCCACCACCACCTCCTTTAGCTCCCGCCCCAGCAGGTGAGGGGGGGAGGAGCACAGGGTGAGGGGGGGGTCGAGCAGCTTCAGGTGAGACTGGTTCCCCAGGTGAATCTCCCACGAGGAGAGGCAGTCGCACCGCAGGGGGTTAGTGTGGAGGGAGAGCTCCTCTAGGGAGGGGAGGGAGGAGAGGAGGGAGGAGGAGAGGAGGCTCAGCTGGTTACTGTGGAGGAGGAGGGTCCGCAGGGAGGACAGGGCACTGAGGGGGGAGGAAGGGAGGAGACAAGGGGGGGAGGGGAGGAAACAAGGGGGTTAGAGAAGGAGAGGAGATAAGGTGAGGAGGGGAGGGAACAAGGGGAGAAGAGAAGGAGAGGAGACAAGGAGTGGGAACAAGGGGAGAACATAAGGAGAGGAGACAAGGAGTGGGAACAAGGGGGTTAGAGAAGGAGATGAAACAAGGAGAGGAAGATGGGAGAGGGGAGAAGAGGAGACAAGGAGAGGGAACAAGGGGAGGAGAGGAAGATGAGACAAGGAGAGACAAGAGGAAGAGAGGACAGGAAACGTGAAGAGGAAAATAAATAAAAAGAGGAGACAATGAGAGGAGACAAGGAGAGAGAGGAGGACAAAATTAGAAAGGAAACAAGGAAAGGAAACAAAAAGAGGAAACAAAAAGAGGAGATGAAAGAAGACAGAAAAAGATAAATATTAGAAACAGGTTTACGTTACACTTTTCTTCTATCATTGTTTCTATCATTTGTTCACGTTGATCTCACCTGAAGGCCTGCGGGTCGATGTAGGACAGTTTGGGGTTGCTGCAGATTTCCAGTTTGGCGATTTCTGGAATATTCTGGAAAGCCGCTCGCTCCACAATCAGCAGCTCGTCCATGTTGTTCAGACTGAAACACAGACAGCAGTTATTAGTAATTATTGTTACCTTGGTTGGTGATTGGCTAATGGCTACTCAAGCCAAAACATCGTTATGACATCATAAAGTGGCCAAAATCTGATCAGCTCATTTTCAGACAGGTTTTTATAAAAATGGATCAGGACAAAAAGAGAGAGAATCTTTGTTCCTGAAACTTTCAGAATCTTTTTACACAGAGGGGACACATGTTGATGTAGAAGAGACATGAAGAAGAGGGGACACATGTTGATGAAGAAGAGACATGAAGAAGAGGGGACACATGTTGATGTAGAAGAGACATGAAGAAGAGGGGACACATGTTGATGTAGAAGAGACATGAAGAAGTGGGGACACATGTTGATGTAGAAGAGACATGAAGAAGAGGGGACACATGTTGATGTAGAAGAGACATGAAGAAGAGGGGACACATGTTGATGTAGAAGAGACATGAAGAAGAGGGGACACATGTTGATGTAGAAGAAACATGGAGAAGAGGATTTTGCATAATAGGTGACCTTTACCATGTCTTGTATTGAGTCCAAACTTGATCTTAACTTCTCTATTTCTTCCTCACCTGAGCTCCTCCAGGTGCAGAAGGTTCTGGAAGTCTCCCTGCTGGACCCGGCTGATGGGGTTCCTGTTCAGGTCCAGAAACTTCAGGTTAGGGAGAACGCTCAGAGCGTCCCGGGGAACAGACCTGCCGGAGAACATCAGCCAGAGAGAGACGATGTAGAGATGAAATCACATTACATTACATGAAGCTGACGCTGCTATCCAAAGCAACGTACAACTTATAATAAGTGCAAAGAAAACATGAAATCTGATTACCAGAAATGTATACTGTCCATACCAGAACAAGTCACATTTTACAACACTGAATACTAATATTGATACCCAGGTAATGAACTAAAGCTATATATAGATCCCATGTACCTTAACATTACTTTATTAGCTTTTGCATACTTGTTTTGTCAGGAAGTAAAACAGGTCATAACTCCTATTCTAAAATCCATTTATATTGCTGTGAAAACATTTCTGTTAAACTGTTTTTTCACCCAAAACGGCATTTGACAAGACTACATTGAACACATCATGATATATATACGGTTTACCTTCCCCTAATACTCATTTTGACTTAGCGTGAATGTGTCGCAACACTACTCAAAGGCACCTCTGTTCTCTTACTGCTAATAGCTAACGTTAACTAGCTTTCGCATTGCCAATTTCAACATGGGTTTGTTGTTCACAATGTGGCATTATGAGTCAATAACAGGTGCATGCCCTCTACGTGTCAAAAACACATTTCCTACCCCAGGACAATAAGACTATATTAGTCTCAAGATCTGATGGTACTACAAGGGTTGCAGCCACCTAAAAAAAGGATTTCAACTGAACACTATACTGTATTATTGAATTTTGTCAGGGACTTGGTAGTATCTCATTAAACCAGCGTCCTTCACACTCACCTGAGCTTGTTGTCGTGGGAAGGGTTACGCAAAACTGCATTTAAAAGACTACATTGAACACATCGTGATATACCGGTAGTTATGGTTTACCTTCACCTAATACTCATTTTGACTTAATCGAGCATAAATGCATTGCAACGCTACTCACGCTACCTCTGTTCTCTTACTGCTAATAGCTAACGTTAACTAGCTTTCGCATTGCCAATTTCAACATGGGTTTGTTGTTCACAATGTGGCATTATGAGTAAATAAAAGGTGCATGCCCTCTACGTGTCAAATGCATGTTTACTGTGTCCAAAACACATTTACTACCCAGGACAAAAGGACTATATTAGTCTCAAGCCCTGATGGTACTACACGTGTTGCAGCCACCTTAAAAAGATTAGTATCACCTGAGCACTACAGTATGAGAATTAGAAACCAGCGTCCTCCACACTCACCTGAGCTTGTTGTCGTAGAAGGACAGGCTCTCCAGGTAGTCGAGTCCCAGGAAGGCAGCGGACGGGACGGAGGCCAGACCCATCCCGGCCAGAACCAGGCTGTGGAGGCGGGACAAAGGCAGGAAGTTCTTCTCCTCCAGACCCAGGATGGGGTTCTCCCCGATCATCAGGATCTCCAGAGAGGGCAGGGACTCGAACCAGCGACTGTCGATGGCCACGAGGCGGTTGGAGTTCAGATGGAGCCTAGAGGAGCAGAGAATCAGACACTGATATTACTTTAGGTGGAGCATGTGGTCAGTAAATCCTTTCTTAATGGCCCTAAGGTAATCCACCTTATCCCCATTTCTAGGGGTTCTATCAGCGGTATTACTAGAATGGACTTTTTCTACCAGTTGCATCCATTTTTATGGAAGTTTGTCTTTGTTTAAGAGGAGAAACCCATTGGTTATTAAAGTGGACCTATTATGCTATTTTGGAAAAATATATTGTAGGGCCATACCTATACAAAACATGTCTGTGAAGTTTTTTTTTTCAAAATACCAAACAGATCCCCGTTGTAGCCATGCCTCATACTGCTCAGACCCCTCTTCTGCAGCCCTGTTAGAGAAACGCAGATTTTGGGTCCTTAGCTTGAAAAAAAAGAGAAGAGGAGGCGGAGCTAATGCCTGATCAGAATTCTACCAGAGAGAAAGTTAAATTCTGCTGTGATAAAACGCCATCCTGTTCTAAACCACATCAAGGATTATTTCTGAAACAGTATGGAGCTCAAATGCTTTTTCTCTTGCGGGTTTATCACAAGGTGAGTTCCTTTTTTATTTTCTGCTTTTTAAACACATGTGCTCTACACAGTACAGGTTAGCTCTGAGTGTTAGCGAGGTTTGCTAATGTAAACAAAGACAAGATTACGTCCAAAACACGTCAGGCATTATTTCTGAATGCAACTTTCTGTCCGCCGATTTGACGTCATATCAGCAGCAAATCTGGATCAGCTCCGTTGTAGCCCCGTTTTTAGAGATTTGGGTACGGAGGAAAAGAGAGAGGGTTTTATTTTCTGACGCTGCATGAGTTCCCCGACACACCGGGGACACATATTTATGTATAAAAGACATAAAAAAGTGCATTTTGCATGATAGGTGCCCTTTAATCTTATATATCAGAATTTGTCAAATAACACGTGTCATGTTTTTTGATCAAACATATCAGCACAGATAGTAAATGTACAGCCACACACACACACACACACACACTTATGATGTCTTTGTAAGAAGTTTTTCAGTGTGAGTGAAGAAGACATAAAGCTTGCAATTTGCTAAACTTGCGAGTACAAAAGAGGCCAAGGTTTTAACAGCAGAAAAATCAATCAAACATTTACCGTAATGAAGAAAATCACAATCAGCAGGCTTTTAAAAATGTGCCACTCGGTAGTTCTTATAGAAGGAGAACAAGAACAATAACAAGAGGTAGAGGAAGGTGTAGAAGAAGAAGTAGAAGGAGTTACCTGAGCAGGTTGGAGAGTCCAGCGAAGGCCTTGGGTCCGATGGAGGAGATGTGGTTGTGGTTGATGTAAAGTTCCTCCAGACTGGACAGGTTCCTCAGACTGAAGTCCTCCAGCTCCTGGATCAGGTTCTCCTCCAGGTACAGAGTCACCAGGCGGCCCAGAGTGGACAGGCCCATCGAGCTCACCTGCAAACAGAGAAACCAGCACTTTATTGGGATGACATCCTTGACAGAGGCTAACAAACGGTTGATGTATTTTGTAAGCTGATAACCCGTGACTAAGTGGTATATTTCATATTACTTTCAATGCATTAAAACAACAGTAAAGAACAACAGATAAACTTAATGTTGGGGAAATACTGAATGTCCTCTTCCAATATGAGAGTAACATGATAACAAAGGTATCCCAACTGTAGCTGTGAACATGACAGGATGTATGATTACCTAGAAGAGCATCAGGACTGTTTTAGGCATATGATAGCTATGTGATTAACATGATGATTCAGCCTCTATGGAGATAGACATATGACAAGCATGATCATTTCTGACGTGGAGCTAATCTGAACTAAACATTGAATACTCATATTTAAATATTTAAAAATGAAAAACTAAAAATACTTCTCGGGGAATATAAAGAGAGCTGCATCGTTGCAGGACAGTTTGTCTCTGCCTGCCACAGTTTGAGGGAATCGGAATGAGCAGATACGCCAGCTCTCACATCTTATATATCTTATGTATATCATATTCTATTTTTGTATTAATGTATTATATGAATGAAATGAATCTGTATTCCTTGGGGAAAAAAACATGTTCTTAGCAGTTTGTTTATAACTGTTTGTTTGTTTATTTGTGTGTATTTTTGTATAGATGTTGCAACTATACAGAGCTTTGGCAATACTGTATGTAAATATGGTCATTGCTAATAAAGCTATTGAATTGAATTGAATTGAATTGAATACTGCTTTCTATTCCTCCATCTTGTGACTGTGTAACTCCCTCTCTTGGATATCAGCATGTGAAGGACACTGTTCAGGAACTAGTTGATGCTCTGTATGTGATGACTACTTCCAGATTTTGAGGAAAAAGTCAGGATTTTGAATTTTTTTGGAAAAAGTCAGAATTTTTAGATTTTGGGGAAAAGTCAGAATTTTGAGATTTTGAGGAAAAAATCAGAATGTTGACATTTTTAGGAAAAAGTCAGAATGTTGACATTTTTAGGAAAAAGTCAAGAATGTTGACACTTTTTGGAAAAAGTCCGAATTTTGAGATTTTGGGGAAAAGTCCGAATTTTGAGATTTTGAGGAAAAAGTCAGAATGTTGACATTTTTAGGAAAAAGTCAGAATGTTGACATTTTGAGAAAAAACTCAGTATTGTGTACATGACAGGATGTATGATTACCTAGAACAGGGGTGTCAAACTCAAATACACAGTGGGCCAAAAAAATGGGTACTAGTCGAGGGCCGGACTGGTTCAATGTTTATTGCAAAACGTATTGAAATGAACTTATTGCACATATTAAACCTGGAACTAACAAAGCTTAAATTATTGCCTATAAAAACAACATTAAATAATCAGTTACATTCATTTCTTATGGCTCTATCGACTCTATCTTGGCATCTCATCTTGGGTGCAAGTTCATCAATGTTTGGGGTCAGGCTCTGAGCTGAGGAGACCCTCAGGATTGAGTGAAGGTGTGCGTGCAATATACCGGCGGGCCAGATCTAATAGTAATTAAAAATTATCCTGCGGGCCGAAATTAAATCCACCAAGGGCCTGATTTGGCCCCCGAGCCTTGAGTTTGACACATGTGACCTAGAAGAACCGGTATTCCTCCATCTTGTGACTGTGTAACTCCCTCTCTTGGATATCAGCATGTGAAGGACACTGTTCAGGAACTAGTTGATGCTCTGTATGTGATGACTACTTCCATTCTGGAGAGGATCACAAATACATGGATCCTGAGATTGAAGCTCAAGCCGGTGACGAGTGATATTTTTCTAACACTTAACAATAAACCCAAATAGTGAAGACAAAACTGCAGGAAGTTTGCTTGAAATCAGGCCGTACTGTATGATGGAAACTTACGCTAAATCACACAAAAGGTAGACCACGTGAAACTATATAAATAAAACCAGTAAAGGTGTGTGTTACCTGTGTGAAGTGGTTCTGAGACAGGTCCAGCTCTGTGAGGTTGTACAGACTCTGCAGCTCAGTGGTGATCGAGGAGATGTTGTTACTCTGCAGCAGCATCACCTGGAACACGTCAACAACACGTCAACAACACGTCAACAACACGTCAACAACACGTCTACAACACGCCAACAACATGTCAACAACACGTCTACAGCTTGGAGAAGTTTAAAGGATATAGGCGTATATTAATTAAATGAAGGTTATTATTAAAGGTCTCCTATTATACTATTTTTAGGCATATATTATAGGTCTCAGATATATATAAAACATGTCCAATACCAAACAGATCATGCATTTTAGACATCCCTCATGTCCCTCTATTCCAGCCCTTTTAATGATTAAACGCCATCATGTTCCAAACCACATCAAGGATTATTTCTGAAACAGTATGACGCTCAAATGCTTTTTCTCTCTCAGGTTTACCACAAGGTGAGTTCCTTTCTTTATTTCCTGCTTCTTTACACATGCTCTCTCCAGTACAGGTTAGCTCTGAGTGTTAGCGATGCTTGCTAATGTAAACACGTCCAAAACACGCCGTGCATTGTTTCTGATAGCAACGTTTCTGATAGGCCGTGGGTCTAAAGCCAGCCCACATTTCAGACATGACGTCATATCGGACGCAAATCTGGATCATCCCCGTTTTTAGAGATTTGGGTACGGAGGAAAAGAGAGAGGGTTTTATTTTCTGACGCTGTGACACACCCTGACACACCAGGGACACATATTTATGTATAAAAGACATCGAAAAGTGCATTTTGCATGATAGGACACCTTTAAAGTGTTCCTCACCTGTGTGTCCGCGGAGACGTTGGCTGGTATTCGGTGCAGATGGAGTTCATTGCAGTCTACCGTCTTGGCCTGGTGATACACACTCTGCGGGGTGTACCAGGGCCGCGTCTCACACACACACTGCAGAGGACACAGCACAGCGCCACCTGCAGGACACACACACACACACACACATCAAACCTTACAATACAGCTTTATTTATGAAGCACTTTAAAACCTCCAGACCAAAGTGCTGTACAGTCAAATAAACAAACAAACGTACACAAATCACACAGCTCATCTCACACACCGTAAAACAAGACACACACACACACACACACACACACACAATCTACAAGACGTCAAAAAATGCTAAACGCTAAATCTTCATATGTCTATCTGTGTGTCGTCGATTAAACAGATTTTTTTTTTACCTTGACTGGCCCCGCCCTCTTCGTCACAAACTGACGATGTCACCAGGGAGACGAGGAGAGTGAGAAGAACTGCAAATCCCATGGTGCACTGGGGCCGGAGCAGACAGGAAGTGCCGGTTAAATCGTGGCGACAGTTTCCTTCAAGAGGGTCACATCTACAGCTGGATGGAAACAGACAGGAAGTGATGTCATTAACTGAAACACAGAATGTATACACTTTATTTAAAGGTTATATATGTCATGCAAAGCTAATCATAATGTCAAAAGTACAAGTTTAATTACACGTAATAAACAGGATACATTTACCATTGGATTCATGGTCAACTAATGCTGTCGTAATACTGTCAAACTGTATGATAGAGTATTTTATAGAACACGTTTAATCGTTTTTAATTGTGTTTAATATATATATAGAAGAATTTAAACTTTTGATAACTTCTGATTGATCTCTTTGAATCATTTTGGATATCTCCTAAACTCTGCAACTCAAAACAAGCTAGATTGAAAATGTGTATTTTGTATTCATTTTTTGTGGGGTGTACTGTCCCTTTAAGGCACATTTTAGTCTTTTGTAGTCTTCAAGTCAGGCGAGGGTTAACCTCAGAGTCGATTTCAGCGCACGCACACACACACACACACACACACACACACACACACACACACACACACACACACACACACACACACACACACACACACACACACACACACACACACACACACACACACACACACACAGTAAATCTTCACACAGCTCATTAGCTCTTGTTGCAGCACCCATCATCACACACACCAGCAACACTGTGAGCGAGCAGGAACCCCGGGGGACAAGTATAATCAAATCAAAGTCTCTCACACACACACACACACACACACACACACACACACACACACACACACACACACACACACACAGCCACCTTGCCTCTGCTGCCATGGCAACCTGCCAGGAAGTGACATAGTAGTCTGGAGCGACCTCTGAGCGGCTCTGTGATTGGCTGACACAATCTCCATCCAGTGTTTGAGTCTGAACTCATTCATAAGTTTGCAGCCGATAGTCATGATGATGAACAGTCAGCATATATACATCTGATATTTAATTATATTATTTTACATCAGTAGAACATTATTTATCATTTTTAACGTTCCATTTGGACCGACTGTGAATAGATTAAAGGAAACAAAAATACAAGCGACGCGCCAATATTCTTATCTTAGTAGAATTACGTTTTTTGTGTTAATTTGGGAAATTATAATATTATTATTTTGGTTAAATGTCCTGTAATTTAAAAAATAAAAGCTTTTAAAACAGTATCAGTATCAGACTGAGTGAAGCATCTGCACAGCTGGCCGGTCGGACACACACACACACACACACACGCACGCACGCACACACACACACACACACACACACACACACACACACACACACACACACACACACAACACACACACACACACACACACACACACACACACACACACACACACACACACACACACACACACACACACACACACACACACACACACACACACACACACACTAATCTACCTGCTGTCCTCCCTGAAGGGGCGTGCACGTGTCCATCGGTGTGCACGTGACTTCAGACAGAGCTTCTCCCAAAGCATCATGGGAAATGCTCAGAGTAAATCTAACCTCAAACACTTCAAGAGATTTTAGACACAGTATTAAATTCTATTTTTAACAACATCCTTTTTCTCACCTGAGGTATATTTCCAAAGTCAAAGCAGGTTTCAAAATGAAAACAATATATGGAAGATGTTTATTAAGCACAGTGTTTCGACTAATTTACCAAAAATCTTGAGTTAACGGTTGGGAAAACTGTGATTTTTCATGTTATCTTAAAATATCTGAGTGGTTCTTTTCGATATCTGCGTATAGTGTGTTTATACAAGATTTAAAGACATGATAAATATTTGATATCATGCTAAATATAATCTTTTGAGACAGTAGGTTCAGCGATAAATTCTCATTTATGTTTTTTTACAGACAAGAAATGTGTTGGTGGAAAGATAACTACAGTCACATTTAACCCTCCTGTTGTGTCCGGGTCAAATCTGACCGATTCAATACTTTCATCAATCATAACTTTTTAGTTTTACATTCGATTGCATTAAGGCTTTATGATATCCTTCACAGTAGACATTTGAACATATACAATTGCTGATCACCACTTTCATTGGATTTTGGATGATTTAGTCAACTTTGTAACACCCATGGTAGGGCTGTGCAATTAATCGTATTTTAATCGCAATTACAATTTTGGCCTGCCACAATTACGAAAACAACATAATCGAAAAAAACGATTATTTTGCTTTGCTAGGTTGTGACAGTGCACTGCAACATATTTGATCAAATTTGTTTGTATTTATATATGTTTAGTAGCTTGTTGAAGTGCGCTCCAAAATATTTGTTGATCTTGTTTATTGGTATTTATTATTTTGATATTATTTATTTAAATGTAAATATAAATGTATCATTTATTTAATTTATTTTAGTATTGGTTTTTCAGTTGAATTATACGCTCAGGGAAATCAACAGTTAAAAAGATACTGTTCAAATTATTATTTGTATTTAAAAGTTCAATAAATGGATGTTTTCAAAGTCAATGAATAATCGCATTTAATAATCGTGATTATGATTTTTGCCATAATCGCACAGCCCTAACCCATGGTGTTCCCGGTCAAACATGACCGCCATAAAGAAAAGGACACCTATTTGACACATTTCCCGCTCTTATGTGCCCATCCCCCCACATGGATCACACCTGGCACACTCAATACATGTTCAGTGTCTATTCTTTGTATATATACTGCAGTTGTTCATGTATACCAGTAGTCTGATACAATATTTACAGTTTGAAAGGGTGTTAAATGAAATGTGGTGATGATTAATGGTTTTTGTGTTAATGTAATAGCAGTTAAAACAGGACCGGTCAAATTTGACCGCGTACACCAAAGTAAGGGGGGGGGGGGAAACTAACACAGGAGGGTTAAACAAACAAAAAGGAAAGTAATTGCAAATATTTAACAAATAATAAAAATATATTCTAAATAAAAATACAATATTGTGTAAAAAAAACCAAATATAAATATTATTAAAAATGTTTTTAAATATATAATTGAATAATACAATGTGTAAAAAATACTTTAAAAAACAACAACAAAAAAACTCCTTAGTTTTAAACATATGTTCGGTTTGTCTGATTTAAGGTGATTACTTTTGTTTAGAAGAGAGAATTAGGCAATAAATAAAAACATGTATAGATTACATTACATGATAATAATAATGTTTTTACTATTTTTAAACGCATTTTGGCTGTGCAGTATTACAGGTGGTAGTATTTTGTTGAATTGTTAGAGATATTTGTCCACAGAACAGAAGAGTGTGTTTGCAGAGGTATTGTGCGTTTATATAATGCATGTGTAAATGTAATGTGTTTGTCTATAGGAGGAGATAAGCATCTGTGTGAGTGAGGGGTTTAGATTATGATTAATTGACCTAGGGGGAAATGTGTTTTCACAGCTGGTGCGCAACAGATACACATAGATATATAAATAGCAACACATCCACTCTACATACAGAAAGCAACACACACACAACAACAAGCACTTATGGAAACCTGATATAGATTAAAAAACAGTTTAATCCTCCCACAAACACTGAATGAGAAACCGGCTGACAGCAGCAGCTCTCTCCAAGTTCCCACTCTCCCAGATTGACCCTGAACGCAGCGCAGCGACAGATGTTGAAACATGTGAACCTCCTTCTTCTTGTTCTCAACAGACTGAAGGAGGTTTGTCTCTTTGCTCCGACATCTAAACACCTCCTCCTCCTCCTCTTCCTCCTCCCCCTCTTCCTCCTCCCCCCGATGCTGCTGCTGAGCAGATGGAATATTGATGAGCTGTTATTAATTATTTAACGAGCTGTGAGCGCCTCGTTAAGTGTCCTGCTGAAGACGCTGTGATTGGAGGAGAGATGCTTAATTAACTCTGAGCAGACACACACACACACACACACACACACACACACACACACACACACACACACACACACACACACACACACACACAGGTGGGCGGAGATATCATTATAGAACAAACACACACTCTTAATGAGCTCTCTTTAGTCTTTAGAGTAACAACAAGGACTCAGCCAGAGATGGAGGAAGTCGGTAAAAAGTACTAATATTACAAATACTAAGGTGTAGAAACAGGTACGAGTATTAGCTTCAAAACATACTTACTAAGTACCAAAACTAAATGTGATAAATGTAAGCAGTATTCATAATAAGCCTTATACACACACAGTAAAGGTGGGACCTTTAAAAAACATCCGTCATGTTCTCAGATGCAAGTAGATTTATTTTGTGGTACGTAAAGTTGTTTTATGATAACCCTAACCCTACTAACCCTAAACCCTAAACCCCTAACCCTAACCCTAAACCCTAACCCTAAACCCTAAACCCTAAACCTAAACCCCTAACCCTAAACCCTAACCCTACTAACCCTAAACCCTAAACATAACCCCTAACCCTAACCCTAACCCTAACCCCTAAACCCTAACCCTAACCCCTAAACCCTAAACCCTAATCCTAATCCTAACCCTAACCCTAACCTAACCCTACTAACCCTAAACCTAAACCCTAACCCTAAACCCTAACCCTACTAACCCTAAACCCTAAACCTTAACCCTAAACCCTAAACATAACCCCTAACCCTAAACCCTAACCCTAACCTAACCCTACTAACCCTAAACCTAAACCCTAACCATAACCCTAAACCCTAACCCTACTAACCCTAAACCTTAACCCTAAACCCTAAACATAACCCCTAACCCTAACCCCTAACCATAACCTAACCCTACTAACCCTAAACCTAAACCCTAACCATAACCCTAAACCTACTAACCCTAAACCCTAAACCTTAACCCTAAACCCTAAACATAACCCCTAACCCTAACCCTACTAACCCTAACCCCTAAACCCTAAACCCTAACCCTTTAGATCATTTCAGTTAGAGTTTCAGCACCAATCCTAAACACGGCACTCCAAAGAAAACTTCCCTTAAATCTGAAAGCCCAGCCTCCACTTATTCTTGATTTATTATATAACGTAATCGTATTAAAGTCCAGATCTCTGCTAACAGGTAACAGGCAGGGTTCTAATTGTGATTATTAAAATGTACACTTATTTTTCACTTTTCCATTTTGTGTTTTAGGTGATCCAAGATGAGGAGATTTCTGAACTGACTGTTTTGTTTGTTTCCTCTCTGAAAGAAAGGAGGCTAGGAGAGAAGATGAGAGATGAACAAGAGAGCAAGAGAAGAGACAAGGAGAGGAAACAAAGAAGGAGGAGAAGAGAGGAAAAGGAGGCAAAAGAGGAGAAGGTTGGAGATAAGGAGAGGACGCAAGAAGGATAACAAGTGGAGACAAGTTGAGGAGACGAGAGAGGAGGCTAGGAGAGAAGATGATAGATGAACAAGAGAGGGGACAAATGAGGAAGAGAGGATAAAAGGAGAAGAGGCAAGGAGAGGAGATGAGGAGAAGAGATAAGGAAAGGAAAGAGAGGAGACATCTCTCTCCTGTCTCTCTCTCTCCTGTCTGTCTGTCTGTCTGGTGTCTGTCTCTCTCCTTTGTTTCCCTCTCTGAATCATCTGTGAATCCACCGTCTTTCCCCCAGAATATTTGATATGTTCTCTCCCCTCCTCCCCTCCCCTCCCCCCCTCAGGCCAAAGAGAGGACAGTCAGAGACGAGGAAACAGAAACTAATTTAAAAGTCAAATCACTTCATCATCTCTGTCTCATTCAAAATGTTGGTTGCCCAAGACGCTTTTTAAATATCTCTGAGGGCAGGGCAAGTTAAATCTGCACATACAGTACAGAACAATCTCATATCATAGAACCAGATCTTCTGCACATAGTGGCGTGTGTTTTGTTTCACATGTCTGGGAGCCACATCATCTTATTATAAGAAAACAAATACATTTTGTTCAGAATCACAGCGCTCATTTTAATCCTCCTGCTGCAAGCCTCGATT